TAACAAAACATAAACACAGAAGGCTCAGCCTGTAACAACATCTTAGTAATCTCTTATACAAGGACTTAATGACTCCGTGGTGAGATACAGCAATTTTCACTCACTTTCTTCTTTTTTTTTTTCCTTTTTGGGTCACACCTGGCACTGCACAGGGGTTACTCCTGGCTCTGCACTCAGGAACTACTCCTGGCGGTGCTCAGAGGACCATATGGGATGCTGGGGATCGAACCCGGGTGGGCCGCGTGCAAGGCAAACGCCCTCCCCGCTGTGCTGTCGCTCCAGCCCACTCACTTTCTTCTAAGGAAACATTTTTTGACCACTCTGTTAGCAAATGATTGATAACAAGCAATATATAATAAATTCTTGAGGGCTTGCTCTGGGGGCAGGCTCAAGGAGTGGTTGGGAAAATTGGAGACAGCGGTGGAGGGAAGGTGTAATGGTGGTGGGATTGGGGTTGGAATACTGAATGCCTGTAGCAAATCATCACGAACAACTCTGCAAACCACAGCATTTATATAAAGCATAAAGAGAAACTTTACATCTGTAAGTCTTACTTATTCATGTAAACTCCAAAATATATTAACACAGAATTGTTTTAAAAGTGCTACTAATTACAGGTGAGACATGATTATTATCATACGCGATCCAAATATAAAGTAAGGTAAAGGTAAAGGTAAAGGCCCTCCCGTTGATCGTCGATTTGCTCGAGCGGGCCCAGTAACGTCTCCATTGGAGACTTTGTTGTTACTGTGTCTGGCATATCGAATACTCTCGGTAGCTTGCGGGGCTCTCCGAGAGGGGCGGAGGAATCGAACTCGGGTCGGCCATGTTGGCCGCTTGTAAGGCAAACGCCCTACCCGCTGTGCTATCGCTTTTGCAGCCCTAAATATAAAATAATAAACTTTAAATTCCAGAGTTTCCCGAGTACCACCAGGAGTAATTCCTGAGTGCAGAGCCAGGAGTAACCCCTGTGCAGTGCCAGGTGTGACCCAAAAAGAAAAAAAAAATTTTTAATTACAGAGTTTGAAACGTGTATTTGTAAATGAGAATAGGTATTTTTATATTGTATTAAATGGTTTTTAGCTTTCTTACTTATTTAGGTCCACTCATATAGTAACCAATAATTGGCTTTTACTGATTGATTTTCTGATCATTCTAGCTGCCAGTTCTTAAAATTTTGTTGAAATAAGCAATATATAAAGTAAATTATTAGAGTCTCCTGCCCCCACGCCTGGCTGTCCTCACCGGGGCCCCTTGGAGGGAGGCGGGTTAAGTGTCCCTTTCCCCAACCCCGAGCAGAGCCCCAGCAGCCGAAGACCTCCAGAACCAGCCACAGCCATGCTGAGACCACTCTCCACACGTCCGGACAAGCCTCATGCATGAAGGAACTGGCAGAGGAACCCAGGCATGCGGGTCCCGGGTTTGAGATCTCCAAGCCTGCTCGGATTGGGCCTGGGACTTCTCCACCCAGATCCCCCATCTTCCAGTAGGTAGGCGTCACACCCACCAGCTGCCGCCAGCGCCAGGTTGGTCCCATCAATGGCCAAGACGCAGAGACTATAAAACCCAGGTCCTGGAAGCGTGCGGCCTCATTTGTGGCTGCGCAACATCTTATTATCTCATTTTTCCTTTGGAGAACCCAGCAGGCTACCAAAAGTATCCTGCCCGCACGGCAGAGTCTGGCAAACTTCCCGTGTCGTACTCAATATGCCAAATACCAGTAACAATGATGGGTCTCATTCTCCTGACCCTGAAAGAGCACTCTTTTAAAATCTCAGGGCTAGGAAGAAGGAGACGTTACTGGCACCTGATCGAGGCAATCAGCGAACAACAGGATGATTGTGATCGTGATCGTGATAAAGTAAATTTATTATGTGCCAGTGTAGCCCAATGGCATCTCTTCGCTCCGGGAACATGGAGGGCCTCAAACCGATCGTTCATGATCTTGACAAAGAAGTCTGACCATCTGGTAGGTGGGCGGCCACGCGGTCTCTTGACATCCCGTGGAATCCAATCAGTAACAGCTCTAGTCCAACGGTCGTCTTTAAATCTCATTACGAGATTAAGTGATTAAGTGATTATGTGCCAGAGGGGTAGCTTGGGATTGAGAAGGAAACTTGGGAATATTGGCGGAGGGAAGGTCACACTGGTGGTGTTGGAACACAAATGCTTGAAACAACTGTAGAAGGGATAACTTTGTAAATCATGGTATTTTGAATAAAAATCAATTTAAAAAATAAAATAGAAACTGAATGGCAAACAGAAAGGGAAAAATAACTGTGTTTTTCTTCTGCCCTAATAGGCAGACGGCAAGAGTCGCAAATTCATCTCCCCACTGGAGCTGGGGTGGGAAACCAGTGAGGGAGAGAAAGGACTGGGGTCAAGTTGGGAACCTGCGAGGACCTCAGGTCAAGGGCCTGGGGGAGGCCCAGTCTGGCCCTGGATGGCTGAGAGCTTCAGGAAGGGCCCTCGGTGTTCACATGTATGGGAGACCCTTAACCCAAGTCTTCCAACCCTCCCTGAGAGACTGACTTCATTTCACAGATGAAGACTCAGAGAGGCCGAGTCACTAGTCCCCAGTCACAAAGCTAGACCAGAAGCATCGGCAGGGCCGAGAAGCCACACTCTCCATCACCTCCAGTACACACAGACATGCCCTCATTAGGGCGGCCCCAGCACCCCCAAACAAATTCACAGGGAGCAAGGCCCTCCTCCATGTCAAGCCAAAGACACGCACCACCACATCTAGGATTGAGGTGCAAGAGCTGGACTGGCTGGAACCGCAGTGGACAAACCTAATCCTGTATCTTGAGACATTTTCCAAGCTTTCCTTTCATTTCCGTAGCAGGAAATACGTCTGGATTGAGTTAGAGGAGTTTTCACTCTTACAGCCGGCCAAATCACCACAACCAGCTTTTAAAATCTTTCCCTGGGCTGGAGTAATAGCACAGCGAGTAGGGCATTTGCCTTGCACGTGGCCGACCCGGGTTCGATTCCCAGCATCCCATATGGTCCCCTGAGCACCGCCAGGGGTAATTCCTGAGTGCATGAACCAGGAGTAACCCCTGTGTATTGCCAGGTGTGACCCAAAAAGTAAAAAATAAAAAATCTTTCCCTAGCCCCAAAATGTTCCTCCTGCTCATTTGCAGTGAATCCCATTTCCCACCTGGAATTTGTGGGCACCTTGGCGGGCTGCCTTCATTAGGTTCCCATGCCTGTTCTGGGCAGTTTGAGGACCCATGGACCTCCATGGGCCTGTGTTCTGGGTCCCTCAGCACTGTGTGCAGTGATTTGCTCCTTCTAACTCCCAGGTGGTATTCTACTCCTGGACTGTCTCTCCCCTCCTCAGCTGATGAATATTTGGATTGTTTCGACATGGCAGGCTACCAAAAGTATCCTGCCCACACGGCAGAGTCTGGCAAACTCCCCGTGCTGTATTCAATATGCCAAAAAAAAAAACAGTAACACTGATGGGTCTCATTCTCCTGACCCTGAAAGAGCTCGAATGAGGCACTTTTTAAAATCTCAGGGCTAGGACGAAGGAGATGTTACTGGGGCCTGCTCGAGGCGATCGATGAACAACAGGATGACAGTGATACCACGCTGACTATTAGGAATAAACGACTGCGAAGTTTGCATTCGTGAGTTTTGGAGTTTTACACTATGGTCTTTGAATGACGATGACTTCACTTGTTGACTTCACATTCCACGATGCACAGGGGTTATTCCTGGCTCTGTGCTCAGGAACCACTCAGGAGGCCATATGGGATGCTGGGGATGGAACACAGGTTGGCCACCTGCAAGGCAGGTGTCTTACTGGCTATACTATCTCTCTGAGCCTAAGCTTCTCTGGAGAAGCTGAGTACAGTGGTTGGAAGTTTCGTGTATGTCTAAAACGCCACCAAACAGCTCATCAGGAGGGCATTTGTCTTGCATGTCTTAGGCCAGGGGTTCAATTCCTGGCTCCGCGGGAATTAAAATAATAATGCTGATAAATATTTAAAATTTGGGGGAATGGGGCTGGAGCGATAGCACAGCGGGTAGGGCGTTTGCCTTGCACGCAGCCAACATGGCCGACACAGGTTCGATTCCCAGCATCCCATATGGTCCCCCGAGCACCGCCAGGAGCAATTCCTGAGTGCATGAGCCAGGAGGAACCCCTGAGCATCGCCGGGTGTGACCCAAAAAAGAAAAAATAAATAAACAAAATAATAAAATAAATTTTGGGGGAAGACAAAGAAACAGGTCAAGGGGCCGTATAAATAGTACAGGGGTTAAGGTGCTTGCCTTGTATGAGGCTAATCCTACTTTGATTCCTGAGCGCAGAGCTAGGAGTAAGCTCTGAGAATTACTGGGTGTGTCCCCAAAACAAAACGACACCCCCACCCAAAAGAGAAAGAAAAATAGGTCACTGGCTGTTCACAAGCTTCGCATACTCAAGACCCTGGTTCCATTCGGGTACTGCATGGTACCCAGAGCACAGGGTCAAGAGTAACCCCTGAGCCGACCAGGTGTGGTCCAAGCCATAAATAAATAAAACACCGCCACTGTTTTAGGAGGTGGTTGCATCTCTCACACTGACATATGAAGGTCAAATTTTAAAGAACTTTCCATTAAATGTGTATCCACACTTGTATTCTTCTTTTGAGCTAGCACCTAAGGATCTCTGTACATTTTGCAGGTTTCACGCATTTCTGCAGACCGTTAAAGCTCCCAGGCTAAAGCCCTGGTTTATCCTTTGTGCCCACAGAGAACAACCTGCCGGCTCTCTCCGCCCTGGAAAGACCTGCAGAGCCACGCCCACGGGGCGGGGGAGGGCGGAGCCTGGGCGGGGCGGAGCCAACGGGCTGAGTTGGGGCTCTGGCCCCGCCCCCTGGCTCTGAGCGCCGGCGCTCCCGGCCAACCCGCGCGGGCCTTCGGCTCTGGGGGGCGGGACCTCAAGGCGGGGCCTATGGCGGCGCGGTCCGACCCCCCGGCTCCGCCCCTCGCGCCGCCCGGCCCCGCCCACGGCGCTGGCTTCCTCGGGGTGGCTGGCGCGGCCCGCACCATGGCTGGGCTGCTGGCGCTGCTGGGCCCCGCGCGCACGGTGGGCGCCGGGGTCCGGCCTCGGGTCGCCTGGCTCGCGGGCGCCGGCCCCTGTGCCCCGCCGCCGCCGTGTGTGCGGCTGCTCCAGCCTGGACCTGCTGCCCGGCTGCTCTGCTCCGCCCGCGGGGACCACCGCGGCCGCCAGGTGAGTCTCCCCTCCCCCACCCGACCGCCGGGACCCCCGATCCAGGAGCCCCCGACCCCCGGAGCCCCCGCTCTCCGGAGCGCCGCGAAACCCGGGACCCCCATTCCCGGGACCCCCGATCCCCTGGCGCTTCTGTCCCCAGAAACCCCAATCCCCGGGGCCCTCGATCCCCTAGACCCCGGATCTTCGGGATCCTCGATCCCTGGGACCCTCGATCTCCGGAGCGCCGCGAAACTTGGGACCCCCTTTCCCGGGACCCCCGATCCCCTGGCGCTTCTGTCCCCAGAAACCCCAATCCCCGGGGCCCTCGATCTCCGGGCGCCGCTATCTCCGGACCCCCGATCCCGGGGAACCCCCATCCCCGAGACCCCCGATCCTGGGGACACCCCCCCGAGACCCCCGATCCCAGCCGCCCCCGCAGTTGCCCCAGCGCCCCTAAGGACCCCCAAGGTCCCTACAAGCCAAAAAAGCGAGCCTCCCCGTCGGCCGCTGGAGAAACTGAGGCTCCATCCGAGCAGAAGGGGGTCTGCGACGGTCTGTGTCCAGTGTCCAGAGGAAGCCGGGGGCGGGGTTGACCCTCCCTAGGACACAGCGGGGCGGCGGGGGCTCCAGGGGGGACAGCATGGACACTCTAGCTTCTCCCTTCCCCCTGCACCCTTTCCCCCTCCCCGCCACCCCCCCCCCCCCCCATCCCCAGACTCCGGGCAAGACCTGCAGGGACTGGGGGAGTTCCCCTCTCTCACTTGGGTACCTTGGGTTCTTTGTGTCAGGTCAGTGAAAACCTTACTCCATCTAGGTGGTCATACAAGCTTAATTGTTTTTAAAAGAAGTTTTCTTTGTTTGAGTGGGTCTGTTTTCAGAAAAAGCACCAGGTAGCAGTTCTGGACCTAGAGCCTAGCAAGCTGCTCCCTGACCCTGGGGGCTGGGGGGGGGGGGGGGGGGCATTCGGCTCCTGCCCCAGGCCTCAGGCCTCCCTCCGGCTGCCCTTCCCCAAGGCTGAGAGGGCAGCTCCTTCCAAGAGCTAGGGAGCATCCTTGGGTCACAGCGGTGAGAGTATGCCTTGGGGGGCTCGCCTCAGGGGGCCTGCTGGAGAGCTGTGGCTCCCCTCCCCCGCTGATGTGTGGGACAGCTCCTCTCGTTTCTAAAGCCCAGACCCCTCTCCATGCGTCTCCTGGCTCTTGCTTGTGCTGCACCCAGAAGTCCAGGGGCTCCCCCAAGCCGTCGCCCCCCCCCCCCTCCACCGGCCCACTACACCAGAGCCCCTTGCTGGTCACTACGCCCCCTCTGAGTGCAGGTGCACAGTGCCCAGCCCAGAGCAGATGCCCAGTGAGGAACAAGGCCTGAGAACCGGCCTGGCAGGACCAGGGGCTGGACCGCAGACTCCTCCGCTCCCCTGGCCGCAGCCCGGCTCGGTCCATCCCCACAGGCCCCTTTGTGCGGGTCAAGTCACTTAGCCAACAGAGGAAAACCACAGTCACCCACCAACGATGCCACCAGTGTCGATGCCACCAGAGTCGGCTCACTGACTCAGTCCTCAGATTCCCTGATCACTTCCGGTGGGACAGGAAGGTGCACGCATAAGACAAAGCCTGACACTTCGAACGTCCTAGGGACCGAGCTCAGTGGGGTCCGAGTGGGGGCTGGGTCCCATCCCCAGCACTGCAGAACTGGGAGAAAAAACTGAATTTCTGAAAGGTTTCCGTGCTCTGCAAGTCACCCCCGCATGCACTCCTTCCCGTCGCCTCTGTCATCTCCAGGGCTCGGGGAAACACACGTGGCTCACCGGGCTTACAGAGAACTCCTTCCTCCTGGTGAGAAGGAAGAAAATGGTCCAGGCAGCTCCTAACTCCAGAAAGTCAGAGCAGCCGGGGTGCTGCCACCGGGAAGTTGTGTGTGGGTCCGTGTTGCCGCCCCTGAGCGCTGGTGGGCCTGTGGCTGCAACACTGGCCGCCTTTCTGCTCTGCTTTCGGGGCCAGGAGGCTCTTTGCCAAACTGGAGGCTGGGGAGAACAAAGGAGCCTTCGGCGGACAGCCCCAGACCGGGGGCATAATTAGGTTGGGGTGCGGGGCTCCCCCGAGCAGGCTGCTGGCTCCGTCTGTCCTATCGGCAGCCGCCGTCTGGCTGTACTCACATCTCTGCAGCCCGAGGTGGGTGGGCACTGGTTTATCAGAGCCAGCCGCCACCTGTGGGGGGCTGCGCGTTCCCTTCTCCCCGATCCCTGGCATTTGGAGAAAGCTCCTCTTTCCCGAAGCTTCCACCCCGGTGAGCGGTGAATCCTCCAGGGCCTGGGGGACACTCTGTGCAGGGCCCAGGGGACACGCTGGGCGCTGGTTTGTCCCTTCTGCAACAATCCCCATCTGCACAGTGGGCGCCCAACGCCCCCTTGCACCCGCTAGGCCCGGTCCTGAGGACTCTGATTCTGGAACCTTCCAGGAAACGGGCAGCTTGGCAGCCCAGACTCCTGGCAGGCGGGAGTCTGGGCCTCACCACCCAGGAAATCCCACGCCGAAGTCACGGCCCCCAGACTCTGTGCCCTGACCCCTCCGTCCTTGGAACCCGCATCCCGGGGGCCGTGCAGAACATTCCAGGGGCTGCTGCCCCAGGGGTTGGGTTCTGCACCAAAAGTGAGGTTGTCTGGACCCCTGGGGAGCAGGGGGCAACGAGGCGCTGTGTGAGGGGCGTGGAAACCAAGGGCCAGGCGGGCGCGTTTTCCTCCAAGGCCAGGCTGGGAATGTGCCCTTTGCCCCAGGGCACCACCCTATGGCTCCTCCTCCTGCCTTATCTCCAGGCAGCAGCTGGGGACTATCTTCCCTGCCTGCCAAGGGCAGCATCACCCCCCAGAGGCCAGCTTAGGGGGACCGGCTGGTCAGGTGAGCCTGGTGAGCGGTACTTAAGGAACTAAAGACCAGTCACCAGGGCCGGAGAGACGGCACAGAGGGGAGGGCGCTTGCCTTGCACGCAGCTGACCAGGGTTCAATCCCCGGCATCCCACGCGGCCTCCCGAGCCCTGCCAGGAGTCATTCCAGTGTGCAGGGCCAGGAGTGACCCCTGAGCATCGCCGGGTGTGACCGCCCCAAAAAATAACAACCAGCCACTCCAAAATTACAGCCAGCAGCAAATGAAAAATAGACCAGCGGCATCTGGACCCCAGAGAGCTGGGGAGAAACAGCTCAGCCCCGGGGCTGGAGCGATAGCACAGCGGGGAGGGCGTTTGCCTTGCACGCGGCCGACCCAGGTTTGATTCCCAGCATCCCATAGGGTTCCCTGAGCATCGCCAGGAGTAATTCCTGAGTGCAAGGCCAGGAGTAACCCCTGAGCATCACTGGGTGTGACCCAAAAAGAAAAAAAAAAAAGGAAACAGCTCAACTCAGCCCCCCTCCCGGGCCCCCTAGACGTGCTCAGTACCCCCACAGGCCCACAGGCACAGCCCGGCGGGAGGGGTCTGCTGCCCAGGACACTGTGCGCCGTGGGGGCGGCTGGGTCTCTGGGCTCGGGATGCCCTGTCACTCCAGGCCCCGGCCCTGCCTCTCGGGGCTTCTAGCCTAGCTGCACTTCCCTCCTGCCCCTGAGGCCCACGGATGCGCCTGTGCTAAAATATACCAGGGAGGAGCTCTAGGGCACTTTCCCAGCCACCCACGGCGAGGGTCTCCATGGACCCCCGCCCCCCACCCTGTTGCCCTTGGGCCCGGCCAGTCTGGGGGCGCTGTTTGGGCCTGACTGAGTCAATGAATTCCACCCCCGGCAGTAGTGGTGCAGGACGCCGTGCATCTTGGCTTCTGGTACCTCGGGAGGCCAGGAGGGATCTTAAGTCTAAGGGCTACCAGGGCTGGACCCTTCCGGAGGTGCCAGGGGAGGACCCACTGCCCAGCGCGGGACCCCATCCCTGTCCTCTCCCACCTCCCAAGTAGAACCACCCTGCCCTGTTCATACCCAGGACCCCGTCTCCTCCTTTCCAGGGCCCGGGGTGGGGGGGGGGGTGGGACCCCTTGCTCTTCCAGGGAGCACGCGGGCAGACGGGCTGCCACCGGGCCGGCTGGTGGTGGCCCTCGCCACTTGGCCGGGCCCTAAAGCGCCCGCCCGGTGCTGTGTGTGCAGGACGCGGGCAGCACCGAGAAGAAGCCCAGCAAGGCCCAGCAGCTGAAGCAGCTGTTCCAGGAGTACGGGGCCGTGGGCGTGGGGCTGCACATCGGGGTCTCGCTGGCCTCCCTGGGCGTCTTCTACACGGTGGTTTCCAGGTAAGGGGCTCCCGGGCCGGGATACGCCTTCCCGGGACAGCCGGGGTGGGGGGGGGGGGCCCGAGAGCACCGGTAACCCCGGCGGCCTTTGCTTCTTCTTCCCCCGCAGTGGCGTGGACATGTCCGCCGTGCTGCTCAGGCTCGGGTTCCAGGAGTCCCTGGTGCAGTCGAAGATGGCAGCGGGCACCAGCACCTTCGTGGTGGCCTACGCCATCCACAAGCTCTTCGCGCCCGTGAGGATCAGCATCACCCTGGTGTCCGCGCCCCTGCTCGTGCGCTACTTCCGCAAAGTGGGATTCTTCAAGCCCCCAGCCAAGCCCTGACCCGCTCCGGGGGCCAGCCTGGTGGCCCGCCCCCAGTGGCCTGCGTAGTTAGGGAAGGGGAGGGGAGGGCCAATTCCGAGTGGGAGCTGGGGGGGGCGCAGGGAGAGGGGTCGCGAGCTTCACTTGCCCAGTCCTCGTGGAGAAGTCTGACCTTGACTGGCAAAATTCAGATTTTTTTTCCCCCTTTGGAAACCATCGCACTTTTAGGCGCGTTCACGCTGTTCTCCTGGGGCTGGTACCCGTCACCTGAATTGTCAGCTGCAGATCACAAATGTCACGTCAAGCCACACTGTCGCCTAGGAACCTGATGATGCGGAGGTGGGGGGGGAAGGGGTCCCTGCAGAAGCCCCCGGGGTCTAATCTTTGCTCTAGTCCTTAAAGGGCAGCATTTCATTAAGCTTTTCTGCGAATTCCCGCTCCTGCATTATTCGTCAGGCCGCCTGCGGTTTAATTTGCAATATTCTGTACAGCTGCTGCCGGTACGCAATTAATGAAGCAGGAGTTAATGACACGTGATCAGGATCTAATTAAGCGTCAGCCTTTGGCTGTTCGCTACAGCTATTGCCGTTATCATAGATCCCCAAACCCCTTCAGAGAAGACAGGCTGGCGTCTGCACCCCAGCTGGTGCTCCTCCAACTTCCGTGGACGTAGAGCTGGATGGCGGGTGCCCCTTGGGTAGCACCCAGACCTTTGCCCCGCAGTCATCACGTCGCTCGGGTCCTGGTGTCACGGCATCTGTGGCTGCTTCTCGTGTGGGCAGGGAGGATGACCCTTGCTCTACTGACCCCCTTTTCTCAAACTTCCAACATTCCCAGAAGACTGTGAAGTGTTTACATTTGCTCTTGGCGTTGAGTTCTGTTACGCTTCAGGAACAGATGCTGTAACAGAAAGGAGTGTCAGGGGCTGGGGCGACAGCACAGCGGGGAGGGCGTTGGCCTTGCACGCGGCCGACCCGGGTTCGATCCCCAGCATCCCATAGGGTCCCCCGAGCACCGCCAGGAGTAACTTCCTGAGTGTGGAGCCAGGAGTTCTCCTGAGCATCGCCGGGTGTCCCAGAAAAGAAAAAAAAAAGGGAGTGTCAGTAGCACTTAATGTAAATGGAACGTTACTCCGAAATGACAGGTGACAGGGGGCAGGTGTGGGGGATGGGCATGGGACCTGTGACCTTCTCACCGTTAGGGACAGAAGGAGAAGTCCCAGGTCAGGCCTGAGGCTCGGCGGCAAAGCACAAGCCTCGCCTGTGCTCCATCCTCAGCACCCAAAAAACTTAAAAAAAAAAAAAATTTTTTTTTCTTTTTTAAATTTCAGGAGCCAGGGATCTGGCTGTGACTGAACAGACAAGGCTGAGTTTGTCCCCCACCGCTGCAAAAAAAAAAATTAATAACAATTAAGCACACAGACCAAAGTCTGTACTTTGTCCTTGAAATGCGAGCTAGAGCTAGGCAGGGCGTTTCTCCGCTTGGCGTGGAGCTCTGGGAAGCGGCCGGCCTGCCTCAGTTTCTCTTTCCGGCAGGGTTATTTTTCCCCCCCTTTCACCACATCTCGGACAATCAAAGCTGCCGTCCGTGACTTGCCCCCGCCGCGGTCCCTGGGGGCTGACCACAGACCGTACACGGCCATTCTCTCCGTTAGCTTAGTGAGCGTCTTGGTGGGGGCAGGAGAGAAGACGTAGGCTCCAGCTCCAGTGCTCTCCGCCCCATGCAGTGACCCCCACGCATAGCTGGGAAGAGCCAGACACACACTAGAGGGCATCGGGTGGGATCCTTGCTCGGGTGTGCGAGGGATCTTCTCAGTGAAGCAGGGCAGCTTCCCTCAGCCGGCCCGCCACAAACATCTTGAAGGCTTGCTCACTGCTGACAGCGTAGCCCCGGCCAGTGCTCAGAGATCCCTGTGCGGCCCCGCCCAGCACGGGCACCTGTGTCCGAAGGGCCTTCTCAGACCTACCCGACCCTTCTGATCCCTAGAAACTCCTATGCAAAAACAAAAACAGCGATTCCTGCAGGTTCAAGGGCTTCGCTCGACGTTTCATCCCGTGCGGGAGAAACGGGAGTGGGACGGCAGGACAAGCAATAAAACGAGCCCTGGACAGCCATAGCGGCTCCCGAGCTCCCGGCCCCACTGCAGGCAGAGGAACTGCAGAAGTTGGGCAGCGGATCAGGGAACTGAATTTTTATGTGAACTCACCAGCAAGGTGTACAAATCGTTTGTATTCGCGCTGTTTGTATTGGCTTAGGGGAATAGAACTGATTGTCTATTTTCGAAAGATGAGCCAAGGGTCTCCGGATTTTTCTACCTTACGGAACGAGCCGCTTGAGTTAAATAAACATCTTTATACGATCTCCGAACAGCTTGTCGTTCTTCTGGGAAGCCGGGGTGGTTGGGAAACGGGCTGTTCCCCGCGAGCGGCTCCCGGGCTGAGGGAGTGAGTCAGTGATGGGGCCCTGGGAAACCCGGCCGCGCCACGGAAACTGGCGCCTCCGTGAAGCTGTGTGGGGCGGCTCAGGTCTGGAGAGCCAGAACAACCTCAGGGGCAGCTGCCCGGCCCTCCTCAGTCCCTCCTCGCCTCAGTTTCCTCAGTCTCACACTTATTGACGCTAGGCCGAAGAGAACATGGGTTAAGGCACAGGCCTTGTAGGCAGCTAACCCCAGCACTCACGGTCCCCGAGAATCGCCCGCTGCAGCCCAGGGGACCCTCCCCTGAGCACTGTTAGGTGTGGCCTGGGAGCCCCAGAGGACCCTCCCCGAGCACTATCGGGTGAGATCTGGGGGCCCCTGTGGACCCTCCCTGAGCACTGTCAGGCAAGGCAAGGCATTAACTACAGGCCCAGCTGTTCCCCTGGGCCCCCGAGCACTGCTCAGGAACCCCCCAAGCCCTAAGCAGATGCCGCCCCGACAGCAGCCTCGCTTCCTGCAGAGGCACAAGCAACCCTGGCCGGGGGAACAGGCCTTAACCCTCAGGAAGCGGCCCGAGTCCAGGTGAGAAGTCTCGGCACGGAGGGAGGGAGAGAGCAGACAATCCGGTTTAACGGGCTGCCCCGGAATGAGAAATAGGTCTATACAAAACTCTTTATTTAACACTTAAAAGGGAGAATCACGGAGTCACTCGACAGTTGACCAGGCTTGGCAGCCAATAAGTTACACTCGTACGAGGGACCATGGGAGTTATTGCACAGCTCTCGGACCGGGGGGAACAGGGCAGGGCGGGGCGGGGCGGCCACTGCCCCCACCGCCGGACGCCAGGGTCCCGCCAGGCGGCCACACCCGGCCTCGCCCCGCCGTAGGAACGTAGTGACGCCCAGCGACTCGCGGCTCCTTCCACTTCAGAGTGTCGCCGGCTGCAGGACTCGGCCTAGCCGCAGAGAGCACTGCCCGGGGAGCACTGTGGGCTGGGCGGTCGCGGGCCGGCCCGGGCGAGCGTCTCCCTGCCAGTCTCAAGATTCTTTGCTAGCTGGTTCTTTGCTCTTTTGGCTACTGGGTGTCTTTGTCGAGTTTGCCGTGATCCAGGGGTGCTCGAGAACCTCCCTGAGCGTGGGCCGCTGGCTGGGAGCGTGCTTCAGCAGCCGGGAAATGAGGTCCCGCGCTCCATCGGTGACAAAGTCGGGGAAGGTGATTTCGACCTGGAATACAGCAGGTGACGGGTCACTGCGGGGGACTGAGAACGCCGGGAAGACGCAGGCATGGCCCCCGGCGAGGGCCGCTCTGGGGCCTTACCCGGGATATTCTCCTGTACGTCTCCTGGTACGTGGTGGCCTCAAAGGGCGGCTTCCCAACGAGAAACTCGTAGCACAGGACGCCGAGGCTCCAGAGATCCACTTTCTCATCGTGCATCCGGCCCTCGATCATCTCGGGGGGCAAGTAGTCCAGGGTGCCGCACAGGGTGGTTCTCCTGGGAGGAGGGAGACGCGGGTGGGTGCTGCGGGCTCGTCACCAAGTGCCTGCCCACCCGCCCACTCGCCGACGCCCTGCCGTCGGCGTTTCCTGGATCCTGCCCCGGGCAGTGGGATCCGCTGTGAACTGCCAGGCCTGGGCGGGGAAAAGGCACCAGCAAGCCCGTCACCCGCCCGCCTGTCGCCTCCACGACCTTCCCGAGGGATCGGGAAGAAGGACTGTGGGGCCGGAGCGACAGTACAGCAGGGAGGGCTTTTGGTACAAGGCTAACCCGGGTTCAATCCCCAGCACCCCAGAGAACCCCCAAGCCCCGCCAAGAAGGACCCCTGGGCACAGAGGCAGGGGTAATCACTGAGCACAGCCGGGTGTGGCCCAAGTCAAGTGCAAGTTTGAGGGCTTCAGCCCTGCAGCAGCTGCACGTTCCCCACAGAGGGTCTGAGGCACGGCGACAGAGATCTGCGTCCCCTCCAAGCCACACCACGCCAGAGACATCCCTGTACGGGGCAGCGTGGGCGTGACGCAGGACCAGCTCTGGCCAAATACATTCCTCAGGCCCAGGGACCTCATCTCCAGGGTCCAGCAAACAAAGGGACAAAGAATCAAAAAGTCAGAGTCGAATTACTAGAGGGGGGTTGGGCGGAGGGCTGGCCCAAACGGAGACGAGCCTGGTCTGGCGCTGCAAAATCTCGTCGACTTTACTGGGGAGCTTTTATAATCCCCGATTATAAAGGACCAGGGCCCCGTTTGTGGAGACTCAAGTGGGCAAGGACCGAACATCCTCATCTCTGAGATTCTTCCCGGAGTCTCCCCCCAAATGCAGGCACAGGCAAGAGGGCAAGACCGCTCTCGTGAGTGCGGGCCGGGCGGACGGTGGACGGCTGACCACTGACCCCGCGTCCCTGGGCACTTGGGCTGCTGGCCAGGCTGTCTGCTTTCTCTGCTCACCCTCGGCAGTGGGCTCAGCGCCACTCCCCTGACCTCTCACCCCGCACCGCACAGGGCTCAGGAGTTGGGGGCCTGCCACCCGAACGGTGTCTATACACCATCCTTCCCTGCACTGTCGCCGTCCCAAGGATGCCAGCCGCCGGCCCTGCCGACGCCTAAACTCTGTCCACCTTGGCGAACAGCTCCGCCTTGACAGCTGGCACGGAGGTGGTCGTGGGCACCTCCCCACCCGCCGCTCTTCTCGGACCCCACAGACACTCAGGTTTAGGGGAGCAAGGACACCTGCAGAATTCACTTCACGGCGACGTTTATTTTCTGCTCATGTCTGCTGACGAGCACTGAACATAATCGAGCCACAGTCCAGAGAGTTCCTGCCCTGGGAATGCAGCACCCGGGGGTACCTGCGGCCCTCTGACACCGGGGTCCCGCTCAGGAACCCCCGCCCTCCACACAGCCCCCCACCACAGCCGCCTCACCACAGTCCCCTCACACAGTCCGACATCACCTGTCACACTAGTCTCTGCTCATCTGTCCCCTTCTCTGGCCTCTAAGGACATCGAGCATTTAACCACAGCTGGGCAGAATAAATCTCACGTGGCCACAGAATCGAGGTTCTTTAAGCTGAGACACCCCCTGCCCCCACCCCACACACCTGAAGTCACATGTGCTCGGGGACTGTACCCCAAGGCCCCCACCAGCCCCCAGCCCGAGGTCGTACCTGGAGGACGGGGCGTGCACGGACCAGCCGAAATCCGCGATCTTGAGCTCCCCGGCCGAGCCCAGGAGCAGGTTCTCAGGCTTGATGTCCCGGTGGATGACTCTCTTCGAGTGGCAATAAGACAGGGCGTCGGCCAGCTCTGTGATGTACTGCGGGGACAAGACTCGGATGTTCTATAGCCCAATTTTATTTATTTTTTGTTTGTTTTTGCTTTTTGGGTCACGCCCAGTGATGCACAGGGGTTACCCCTGGCTCATGCCCTCAGGAATCACTCCTGGCAGTGACCCTATGGGATGCCGGGAATCAAATCCGGGTTGGCCACGTGCATGCAGGGCAAACGCCCTACCCGCTCTGCTATCGCTCCAGCCCAATTTTAGACTGAGCTGTCGTCTTCTCTCCAAGGACGGCCAACATCGAATTTAACGTGTTTATAAGTCTTCAGGCCGTAAGTGACTTTTTCAGTGCCAGGTTACATATTTGCGAATGCAGCAGATTAACCCTGAGAGGGAAGGACACTGGCCAACTAGAAGTCAAGGCCATGAGGCGATGCCAGGGCGGGGCTTCAGGACAGCACAATTCATGTGCAGGGGGCCCTGGGTTCGATCCCCGGCACCACAAAAAGAAAACTGGGAAAACTGGTCTAAATTAGAGAGCTAGCTAGACAAGTAAACTTTTTGAAAAATTTTTTGTCTTTAGTACTGCATAGTCAATTCCCATTTTTAAAACTAAGAGAAACCTCCAGCAAAAGGACTTGATACTAAAAGTTTCCCTCAGACTATCAGGAGAAAATAAACACTAGAAGGGAAAAAAAATTATCCCTATATTATCTCCACAAATAATCCCTAAGTCTAAAATTACTTTTTTAATTTTTATTTTTCTTTTGGGGTCACATCCAGCGATGGCTCAGGGGTTACTCCTGGCTCTGCACTCAGGAATTGATCCTGGTGATGCTCGGGGACCCTATGGGATGCTGGGAATTGAATTCGGATCAGCTGCAATGCAAGGCAAATGCCCTACCCGCTGTACTAACATTCCAGCCCCTAAAATTATTTGAAAATAAATTGTTAATCTTCATAAAACACGGATCCATGCATCACTGTTCACAATAGTCAAAAATCTGGGAGGAACCCAAGAGTCCAAGAGCAGCAGACTGGCTAAAGGAACGATGGCGCAGATACACAGGAGCGCGTCGCTCGGCGGCTGGCTGCTGTGGTGGACGCGCAGAGCTCCCTGCCCAGACGTCAGAGGGAGAGAGACGGGCGGGACGGGCCCTCTCGCTTGCAGGGTAGAAAACCACATGGCGGAACGATGAATGCCCAAAGCGACGGGAACAGAGACCCTGAGGACTGGTCTTCAGTGGGAAGATGATGCCACTTGGGGGCCTGGGGGGGGAATGACATCTGTGGGGGAGGAAGCACCAACCTGAGGAGGGAGGGGGGTGCCGAAAGGGGCCAGTGCCCGTGTGGAGCCCTCTCGGCAACAGCACTGTGAAGCCCAGCACAGGACCCGGTGCTGAGAGCACCGCCCACAGGGGCCAACGGGCGCCCAGGGCGGAAGCGGGGGCAGGGGGATGGGCAGACGGAAGTGGACCCTGGCAGAGCTGGGGGCCGAAACAACGGATGCCTGAAAACTCAACCACGAATGCCTCTGGACTGTCAGGGCGATGAGTGAAATGTTGAATGAAATGAAATGAACAATAAGTTCAGAAAGGAGCTGGGGGATGGGGGGTGCCTGGAGCGATAGCACAGCGGGAAGGGCATTGGCCTTGCACGCGGCTGACCGGGGTTCGATTCCCAGCATCCCATAGGGTCCCCTCAGCACTGCCAAGACTGATTCCTGAGTGCAAAACCAGGAGGGACCCCTCCCCCCCAAAAAAAAGCAAATACAAAGAAAGGAGCTGGGGGCACAGCTCCAAGGGTGGACCCCAACCTTCACCCCCAGCAATACAGAGCCCCGACTGGGCACCCACGGGGAGTCACCCGCACACACATCCAGAAAAGCACAGGAAGGCCATCCTGCAGATCAGCTGTGCTGCAATACTTGATCCGTAAGTTAGGGGTGGAGCTGGGGATTGGGACCACCCCCAGCGGCGCTTGGGGCTTACTCCTGGCCCTGTGCTCGGGGGTGACGCCTGGCAGCCTCGGGGACCCAGACAGGATGCCGGGGATCACAAGAGGCGCTAAGATGAAAGGAAGCCTCCCCGCAAGGCAGAGCAGGGCCGGAGTCCGTCGAAACAGAAGGCACTTACGGTCGCTGTCCTCTGCTCATCAAACTTCGACAGTTTCTGAAGCTCTCGATAGACGGCTCCGAGAGGTGCGTATTCTAGAATCAGGTAGACGCGGGTGGCGTCGTGGAAGTAACCATACATCCTGAGAATATTCGGGTGCCTGCAGCAGGGATGGACACGAGCGTCAGCGGGGGGCTGGCAGGGAACAGATGCTAAGGGTCGACCGAGCCCCTCGTGTGAATCCAGGGTAGAAGCTGGTTCTGGTCAGGGTCCCTCTTCCCCCCCACTTGCGAATATGAAACTGGAGGGACTGGAGAGAGGCAGCAGGTGAGACTGGCCTGGCACAGCCAACCCGGGTTCGACCCCCGGCACGCCATGTGCTCCCCAGAGCCCCACCAGGACCAATCCCTGAGGGCAGAGCCAGGAGGAAGCCCCGCGCATGCCAGGTGTGGTTCAAAAAGAAAAACAGGGGCTGGAGCGATAGCACAGCAGGTAGGGTGTTTGCCTTGCATGCTGTCGACCTGGGTTCGATTCCCAGCATCCCCTAGGGTCCCCCAAGCACCGACAGGAATAATTCCTGAGTGCATGAGCCAGGAGTAACCCCTGAGTATCGCCGGGTGTGACCCAAAAAGCCAAAAAAAAAAAAAAACAATTTTTTTTCTTTAAAAAAAAATCTTTTTTCTAGAGGCTGGAGAGATGTACAGAGATCCCTTGCACACAACCAACCTGGGTTAGATTCTTGGCACCCTACAGGGTCCCCCAAGTACCACCAAGAGTAATTCCTGAGTGCAGAGCCAGGAGTAAGTCCTGAGCATTGCCGGGTGTGGCCAAAAACAATTTTTTTTTTTTTTACTTTTTGGGTCACAGCTAGAGATGCCAGGGGTTACTCCTGGCTCTGCACTCAGGAATTACTTCTGGAGGTGCTCGGGGGACCATACGGGATGCCGGGGATCGAACCTGGGACGGCCACATGCAAGGCAAATACCCTACCCGCTGTGCTATGGCTCCAGCCCCCAAAACCAAATTTCTTTTTTTTTTGCTTTTTGGGGTCACACTCGGTGATGCACAGGGGTCACTCCTGGCTCTGCACTCAGGAGTTACTCCTGGCGGTGCTCAAGGGACCCTATGGGATGCTGGTCCGGGTCAGCCGCGTGCGAGTCAAATGCCCTACCCGCTGTGCTATCGCTCCAGCCCCCAAAAACAAAATTTTTAAGAATTTTTCTGACCCAAACAACAATGAGATACTTTGCACAGGGAAGACGATAAACATTGAAAGCCCGGGAACAACCGGTGCTGAGGGGAGGTGGGGATGGGTGCCGTCTGGCCGGGCTCTGGGAAGCGGAGCGGAGACTTCTCGAGGAAGCACAGAGCTTCCGGAGGGACCCAGCGAGCTGACTCCTTGGCACCTATGCCCCAAGCACCAAGGCATTAGCTCAAGGATAAAGGTGCGCTCCGAGCACCAAGCACCGCGTGTCACGGGCAGAGGCGTCCGCGCTAGGTGCAGCGCAGCAGGGAGCAAACCAGAAACCCCACGGTGCATCCTGGTCGGGAGTGGAAGGAGGATGGTAAGCGAAACAGTCGGAGAAGGACAGAGAACCCCACTGCCTGTGACAGACAGAGACACAAACTAGGCAATGGACAAGGACAAACAAGCCCTTGGCTTGGGAGCACAGAACAGAAACAACCAAACTGGGGCTTGGGGACTACAAGCGACTTAAGGACAGTGGCGGGGGGCAGGGGGGTCACAGACACTTGGCCACGGTGAAGGTGCAGCGGTCAAACCCCATCACCTGAAAGCCAACAGAGAGGGACAGACGTTGCAGCGTGATAACACAGCCGGGAAGTGAGGGCTGGGGCCGTGGGGGATGAGGCAGAGTCTTGACAATGGTGGGACGGGCGGTCCCTCAGCGTCACACGGGGACGTCAGCTACAGAGCTCCAGAGAACCAGGGGCCACACAGGCTGCGGGCACTGGCCCCGCACACGGCCAAGCGTGCACATGCACGGATCCACGGGGCGCCCCGAGCACAGACCCAGGAGCCCCTGCACGCCACGGGGTGTGACCTGACAACCCGAGTCAAGAGTCGATTTTCTGGGGCCAGGAGGGCACGCGCAGAGGACGTCCGGGGAGGAGTCCAGGGTCCCCCGCACCAGGGCCCCAGCTCACGGGGCCTGGGCTTCCCACTTCCTGGGCTCGCGGGCACGCACCTGAGGTGGGACTGGATCTCCACCTCCCTGCGCAGCTGGTGCTCCACGCCCGCCTTCTCCAGCTGCGCCTTGAACAGCACCTTCAGGGCCAGGATGAACTTGCTCTGCTTCTCCCTGGCCAGGTAGACGTTCCCGAACTTCCCCTTGCCCAGCGGGCGGCCGATCTCGAAATCATCCAGAGTCCACTGCCTCCTGCAAGGGATGGTGGTGACCGTTGGCGAGTGGGGAGGAAAGGGGTCCCAGAGACGCGGCTCGGCGCCCGGGCACTTGCCCTCAGCTCTGAGGCCCGGGGTTCGATTCCCGGCTCCTCCTCAAAAACGACTGAAAAATCTACAACGTGGAGAAAACAGATCTTTCCAGAAACAGATTCAGTAAACAGAGCATTGAAGTCCAGAGAGCAGTCACTTAGTGCCTCGAATTCACAGTCTATAGTTTATCATCAGCCTAGAAATGCTATGCGCAGCATGTCCGCCCACAAGCACCAAGCCAGCGACCACAGCGAGTCTGCATAACCGCTCGCGCCCATCCCCCGCCCCCCGCGGGGCCAGCGGCTGTGCCAGGCAGTGCCGACTGGCCCCCGAAAGTCCATTCTTTGTTCAGGTCAGGATGGGGACCATATAAGGTGCCGGGGATCAAGCCCGGGTAGGCTGTGTGCAAGGCGAACGCCCTGCTCACTGTGCACGCTCTCTCTGCACGACCCACGCCCCCCACCCCCCACCACGAGCAGCAGAAAATCCCTACGTGGCAACCTAAAAGCCTATTTTAGAAGTTCATAACTAAATGGGTGATTAAACGGTGTATTCTTAGACTGACCGTACAGAACTTCGCAAACAAGAGGAAGCTTACTTTTTTGAGTCTTCATTTTTCTGTTTTGATGGCAGTTCCTTCTCAGGATTATTTCCTGTTAAGAATAAACACCCGTGGGGCTGGGGAGATAGCACAGCGGGGAGGGCGTTTGCCTTGCACGCGGCCGACCCGGGTTCAGTTCCCAGCATCCCACAGGGTCCCCTGAGCACCGCCAGGGGTAATTCCTGAGCGCAGAGCCAGGAGTGACCCCTGTGCATTGCCGGGTGTGACCCAAAAAGCGAAAAGAAAAAAAAAAAAGAATAAATACTTGTGACTAGGATGAATCAGAGAATGACCACCACAACACTAAGGGGTTTCCTTCTGGTTCCAAGGCTGGAACAAAACTCCAGCCACCCCCACTGGATGCTGAGGGAGGCGGCCGCTGCCCAGGGCCCTGAATGGGCACATGGCCAGCCCTGGCCCCAGCTCCTCAGGTGGGCTCCGCCGACTCTGCTGGGCCCCTGCCGCTCCCAGGTGAAGCCCATCAAGGCGGACCCGCCCCCTCCCGTCCATGAGCACCCCCCCCACATGCCACCATGACGCCCCCAAGGAGGGCCGGCAGCGTCACTGTCATGGGGAAGGAAGCAGAGGCAGAAGGTCGGCCCCGACCACAGGAAAGCGCATGGAGCACTCGCCCAGACGTAGACTCGCAGCACCGTGCTCCACTTGGGCCTGAGTCCAGGCCCTCCCCCAGCTCGAGTCTGCTGTCCTGACCGCGAGGTCTGAGCCGCGAGCTTGGCAGGAACAAACAAGTGCGTCTGAGTCCACACGGTGTGGACATCAGCGGGCTGGGAGCTGTGAAGAGGGAAGTGAACGCTTGGGGAGGGCGTCGGAGCCCCGTATGCGTGAGATGCTCATGGTGACAGTGCTCGCAGCACACAACAGGGCTCTGACAGTCCCATCACCGCCAGCCCTGACCAACCACACTGGGCGCCCCTGAGCCGAGGCTCTTCCCACGCGCCTGGAATAAACTCGGAAGGCACGGGAGGCCCTCTGCCCGGCCCCCACACCCCTGCCCAGCCGCCTCCCGGCTGCACCTCCCCGAACCTTCAGCCCTGAGGCTCCCCTCACAGTGCTCCAGGCACGAGCGTGGTCAGCGGCATCTCCCCCGCCCCCTCACTCCCCACCACAGTCCAGAGCCTTCAACTGTGATTCTCAGGCAGGGGCTGGCCCACACAACCCTCCTCCCCCACTCCCCCAATGAGCAACCGCGTGGTGCTATGGCCACCCTGGGCCTGGCTCACCCCGGGGAGCAGCCCCAGCATGGCCCAGACACAAGACACGCCTTGGTCCCCAAAAGAGCGTGAAGCGCCAACTCTGCGCCCTCCCTGCAAGCTCACGTGACCACCTTTCCTTAATCATTCTGTGAACTAAAGAGGCACAAAAATATTCATGGGGGCTGAAGCAATAGCACAGCAGGGAGGGCACTGGCCTTGCACGCAGCCAACCCAGGTTCGATTCCCAGCATCCCATAGGGTCCCCCGAGCACTGCCAGGAGTAATTCCTGAGTACAGAGTCAGGAGTAACCCCTGAGCATCACCGGGTGAAAGAGAAAAAAAAAAATTATGACTGAGTTTCAGGCGGCCCATGTCTCAACACTAAGCCCATGACCAGTGAGCGGCCACTCCCCTCCCCCAATGTCCCCGGGGTCCCTCGCGGCCCCCAGCAGTCGTTTTCTCAGCAGCCACAGAGGACAGCGCGCAGGCAGGAGCGGGGCCCAGCAGCGAGGCCCACGTGTCCATCAGACGCAGATGAGCCACTGGACACGGCGCTGCTTACCGGGGGCTGGCGGCGCGGCCTGCTCGCTCTTGGGGGCGCTCTTGGGGGCGCTGCCCGGCAGGCGGGAGGCAGGATGAGGTGCACCGGTCGCCTGCAACTGCTTCTGCTTCAGATTCTGAAGCGGTTTGTGGCTGGGGACGCCCTTCTGCGGGGGCGCGGGCGCACGCTGGGCGGCGTTGGAAGGACACAGCACGCGCTGGGCCTGGCCGCTGCCGGCACACAGCGGGTTCTGAGGCTGCGGGGTCACCAGGACACGCTTTGCACCGTCACCAACGGGAGCCGTCATCTGCAGGGAGGAAGAAGGAAGGTCACCACGACGTCCACGCAGGGGGCAGCGCCACGGCTGACCCTGCCCTTCCCGAACCTCCCGCTGAGAGGACCCCGCCCCCCCACGGCACCCGGCTCTGGAAGCCCACAACAGGGGTCTCAAACCCCCACCGGGGGGAGCCCCAGCGACGGGCCCAGCGCCAGGCTCAGGCCCTCGGCAGACCGGCAGACCAGGCCGAACGCAGCAGAAACTTTATTTGAGGAGAGGGAGGGAGGGGAAGACTGGGGTGCACAGTTCCCTTTGGTGGGAAAGGGGGAGCCCTCGTCTGTCTCCATAGCTCGGGGTGGATGAGCACTGGCCTGGGTGCAGGAGGGGGAGACGGAGGGGCGGGGGACGAGGACGGGCTGCGTGTCCTGTCGGGTCCTGCCCGTTCTCCGGCGGCCCAGACAAGGACTGCCCATCCTCCTGCCGGGCCACCGGGGATGCTCCGGCCACTCTGACCCACACATTCCCCTCCTGTCCCTACATCTCTATCGGTTTGGGAATAAAGCTATGAATACAGAAACTTCCTATCCAAATCCCAAAGTAATGCTATTGCTCTGGCAATAGAAACATCTAGAAAGAGACAGGAGTGGGGCTGGTGCAGAGAAACCAGGGTGGGGAGGTATCTGCCTGACACGCAGCCGATCTGCTTCGGCTCTCGCACCCCACGTGACCCTCAAAGCACCACCAGGGGTAGTTCCTGGATGCCTGAGCATCACCGCACGTGGCCCCAACACCCCTTTCCCGCCCAAAACTGAGGATGGGGGCCAGAGAGGGCGCTTGCCTTGCAAACAGCCGCTCAAGTGGGATCCCAGGCACTCCGTGTAGGTCCCGGGGCCCACCAGGTGTGACCCCTGAGCACAGAGCCCGGAGTAAGCCCCGAGCACAGCCAGCTGTGGCCAATAACAAAAGAAATGGGGAAAAAAATTATCTACATAATTCAACAGTAGTTATCTCCAAGTAACGTCATCTTGGAGGACAGTCTGAATTTCTCTCTTTACCAGAATTTGCACAAAAAGCTCATATTAACGATTTTTTTTCCTACTTACAAAATAGACCTACTAAATCAAAATAAAGAATCTGGGGCTGGAGTGATAGTCTAGCGGGTCGGGCCCTGGCCCTGTATGCAGCTGACTGGGGTCTGGTCCCTGGCATCCCCGAGGGCTGCCAGAAGTGATCCCCCAAGCACAAAGCCAGAAGAAAGCCCTGAGCACCACCAGGAGCTAAAACCCTGACCCTGGGTTTGCTGAAACCAAACCAAAAAGAGAACACAGAAAAGGACTAAAGTATCTCCTGACACACTAAAGCAGCTCTGTAAACAGAGGCCGCACGGCCATGGTTCCCTGAGTTCCTTGGGGCAAACGGAGGCCCGGGGCCGACTTCAGGAGGGAACAGGACGCAATGCTAGAAAGGAACTTTCCACTTCCAAGGAAAAAGCCCACTGACTGGCTGAAGCCGGGAGACGGTCCCGAGGGCTGGCGCGCGGGCCTGCAGACAGGAGGTCCCAAACCGCCCAAATGACCCTGAACTGGGGAGCCCAGCTGGCCGGGTCCCCGCCCCCCGGCACTGCATTTGGGGAAGTCCCCAAATAAAAAAAGAAACAGGGGTGGGAATACCCACGTGGGTGGGTGCACAACCTTGCAGGTGGCCAGCCCCTGTTCTACTCCCCGCAGGACACGGTCTCCAAGTGGCTGGGGCCACCCCAGCATCGCTGGACCTGGCAAAGCATCGCAGCCTCCCGTCCAGGGGCCAAGAATCCCAGGAGGACCCCCACCACGCCCCCTCCTGTCCAAAATAATGTCACTTATGAGATTAGGAGCGTCTACAACACAGCGGACACTCGGGAAGTTCCTATTAAACGACCTTTCTCATAGTCACCGAAAAGCAAACACAGCAACTGGAGTCAGCCCTTTTCTAAACCCAAACACCCACTCATCAGTTACATTCGAGGTGTAGGAGGCCCAACCGCGCCCCCACCCCACACCCCGGCGGCCCCCACACTGCGGGATTCTTCAGGGACAGTCCCCCAACTGCATCTCATAGGCACCTGTCCAGGTGGGGACCTGCAGCCACCCAGAACACGTGGTCCTGCCCACACAGAGCCACGAAGTGTTCCCAGATCGCCAAGAGTCGAGCCTTTGGGCTCTGCATCACTGTAAGACTGCGTCTGACATAGAAGCGGCCTCCGAGCAGCTTCCGGGAAAGTCACGAACAAGGAGCCGGGCGTCTCTCTAGGCTCACGGCTCCCTGCACACAACCAGGAGAGCAGAGCCCGGCGAGCGAACGCAGGTGCGAGTCCCAGTGAGGACAAGGGCACCCGGGGCACACATGCACAGAAACAGCTCGGTCGAAGGCAGGGAAACAGGGTAACAGGGCGGGGGTCCACCAGGATGGGGGGGATCCATACAGATCAGAGATACCAGGAAGGGGGGACCCACGCAGCACCACTGAACACTGATGAGAGACTGACAGCACAGGAAAGGGGAAAGGGACACAGTCTCCATCCGATGCTGGGGCAAAGGTCGTCAGGGCAAAGGTTGCTGGCACAATGCTTCTCCGTACTATTCCACGCACCTTCCCGGGTCCTGAGATGTAGTTTTCTTTAGCTCGGTCCATGATGCCTGGAAAGAAAGAGTCTCTGGTTTACACCAACTCCGCCACCCCACCCCCAGTGTCTTGACGCTCAGTCAGGTTCCAGCTCCGGGTGCCAAAGCCCCAAGCACGGACTGTGCACATCGCCTGGGTCCTGCTGACGCCACCGCGGGTCCCTGTGACTCGATGCTCGGCTCGCCTCTCCCGACCAGCTCCCACGCTCTCTGCACCCCTGAAACAACCCCTCACCCCAGCCAGCTGCCTTCCCTAAAGGGCCCCGTGACCCCAGGACTCACCTCTCGTCCCTCTCCCAAGCCGCTTGGGCCCCTGACTGACACCCCCCCTCCCCCCCGGCCCAAGCCTGTCAAGTCTCCTGAGAGCTCCCGCGGGGGTCTTTCCAGTCTCAGTCTGACAGTCTGCAGCCCAGAGCACTCGTCTACACCCTCCCAGGGGCCTGGCAGCCAGGGCTCACGGCAGCTTGTGTGACACCTCCCTCCTGCCGTCACCGGCCCAGCAGGCCTTCTGCCTTCCGCCTGGTGCCGGGGTCAGGACCCGCCTCTCTGGTCTTGTTCACCCCTCGCCGCCCCTCTGCTCAGGGCACCCGAGAACCCTTCCGGGGGGGGGGAGGGGATGCTGGAGGACTCTGCAGGGACCCCTTCCAGCACTTGTCTGAGCAGTGCTCGGGCTGCCCCCAGCCTGGTCCGACTCTCTGGCCTGCGCCCAACCCGTCTGCTGCGTTCCTCCAGCCGCCGCACCTCAGCCGACTCAGGTCAGCCACGCATCTGCGAGCTCTAGGAGGCCAAACTTCTCACTTTTAGTTCCACTAAAAGTGCCCGGCGGCTTCCCCGAATCGTGCCGAGAGCGTAGTAGACATGCCAACGCTTGTTCAATAAATGAGTCCATCTGACGATGCAAGTTACGAATAAAAATTATTTCTAAGCTCTAAGGATGCATCAGGAACAAGGTGCTAAGAAGAAACCCCGAACCCCTTACGCCGACACGCTCTGCTTCTGAACTCCGGTCAGAAACCCTCTCCAGACAAGCGACTTCGCCTTAAAGACCCACCACGGCCAAGGAGCTTGGGGTGCTGAAGCCACCAACAGTCCGGTAGACCAGACAGAAGAGAAAACAGGGGCTGGAGTGATAGTACAGAGAATACGGTACCAGCCTTGCAGGCAGCCGACCTGGCCCCATCTCCGGCACCCCATATGGTCTACCAAATCCCAGTAGGAGTGACCTCTGAGCACAGAGCCAGGAGTGAGCCCTGAGCGCCACCGAGTGTGCCCTCTCTTCCCCCAAAAGGAAGAGAACGTAGATACTGTGTTACGCAAAATTCATTTGCACACACCTAAACCTTCCTCACTTTCCCTGACAATTACAGGGCTGGGGGCGGGTAGTTGGTGCTCTGGGATGGCGCTGGGCTTGCACAAAGCCATCGGGGTTCCATTTGTTCCATTTCCAGGCCCCCATATGGTCCCCTGAGCCACACCAGGAACGATCCCTGAGCACCAGCAGGTGTGGTCCCAAAACAATCACAAGCAGACTCAGGAGATCCCTCCCAGAGGCCTGAAGACCCTTTTTTTTCTGGTTGGCAACAGACACAACCTATTTGCCTCTCCCTGGCCTGAGACCATGAAAAGAGTTGAAAAGAATTAAAACTCTTGAGAGATGCTGCACAGAGGCCAGGAGAAGACCGTCCTCCTGGCCACTCTGCTGGGCCGCTGGCCGCCGGATTCGGAAGTCACCTGACCGGAGAAGTGCACCGAGGCCAGACAGTTCCAGCCGGGAATGGCTAACCAGCCGGAACTGGAACCTGGGTTCGTAGGCACTGAAGCAGACAACGAGGCAGGTGCTAGAGAAAGTTGATTCCAGGGCCAGGCAAGCAGTCAAGGTCGGGGACCCCAAGTTTCCTCTGCATGAGAAGTCTGATGGTCAAGTGGGGCTGCTGCGGCCACACTGTGCGCCTCAAACTTAATGGGAATACCTCCGCCAATCAGTGCAGAATCAGAAACGCCATCCCAGGCCCAACCTGTTAGCTTCTGCACTGTGGATTCCTCCGGGTGACACAGGGGAGCTACCTGCGGGGTGCATCTGCCTACAAACACCCGGCGGGGCCCAAGCACCCCAGCACCCCACCCCCTCCTTTCTGCAGAGTCTCAGGCCCAGGAAGTGGCTCCCGGGGTGCAGCCCTTGGGGGGGGGGGGAGGCGGTCAGCACAGGGGCTCTGCATGCCGGGCTACCCTGGGCTTTCATCACAAGAGCCCCATGGTAGGCCACGGTGGTTTTCCCGGTCGGTTGGGGGGTTTTTTGTTTGTTTTTGTTTTTTGCTTGCTTTTTGGGTCACACCCAGCGATGCACAGGGGTTAAGTCCTGGCTCATGCACTCAGGAATCACTCCTGGCGGTGCTCGGGGGGACCCTCGGGGATGCTGGGAATCGAACCCGGGCCAGCCTGGTGCATCGCTGTGCTATCGCTCCAGCCCCCCAAGGTTCGGTTGGGTTTAGTCGGGACACGGTTCGGGGCTTTCTCCCGCCGGTCCCCCCGCGGGACGCCGATTCCCAGGGCGCAGAGCCCAGACCGGTGCAGATCCTTCGGCCCAGGTGCGCCCAGGAACGCGAGCGCTCCCCGTGGCCCCGACCCACGCCCGCGGGTCCAGGAGCAACGTGGGGGGGGGGGGGGACCCTCCGGGGCGCCCCGAACCCCGGGCGGGGGCGGGCAGGGGCAAGGGGCAAGGGGCCGAGGTGGGGGCCGGTCAGCGGGCCCAGGACGCGCCGCCTCGGGGCAGCGAGGGGGGGCCCCGGGCTGGCCCGACCCCGGCCCCCAGCCCCGCCGGCCGCGTCCCTGCAGCCCGGAGACCACCCCGGCCGCGCCCCCCTCGCCCCGCGGGGTCCACCCACCTGCCGGCCGCCCCGCCGCCGACCGCGGGCCGCCGCGTCCTCCCGTGCGCTCAGCCGTTAGGATTCAAAGAGTTTTCATTTTAAACCGGGGCTCAGCCCTCGGCCCCGCGCGCTGATTGGCCGGGGCCCGAGCGGCGCGCGCGGCCGATTGGCCGGGCCGCGCACGTGACGGCGCGCAGGCGCACTGGCGCGCGGGGCCGGAAGCGGCGGTGCCCAGGACCCCCCCACCCCCACCCCGGAGCCGCCGGCCCGCCCCGCGCCCAGCTCGGAGCTGCCCCGCGCCCGGCTCGGTCGGGGCTGCGAGCAGTCGACCGATCGCGGCGTCCCCGAGGGCCGGGGGACGCGGCGGCCCTGGGGCATCGCGCCCGGCGGTGAGAGGCCGCGGGGGCCGGGCGGGGCGGCCGATCGATGGCGCGGGGTGCGCGCGGCGGCCTGTGCGCGTGCGCGCGGCGAGCGCCGATCGATCGATCGGGATCGGCGCCTCCATCTTTTCCCCCCCGGAGGAGACGGGAGGCCGCGGGGCGCGGACGCACGCACGCACGGACGGACGCACGGACGGGTACTGACCCCGGACGCGGCCCCCGCGCGCCCCCCGCCCCGGCCCTTGCACGTGCCCTGGGGGTTGGGAGCGGCCCGGCCTCCCGCCCGCCGCGCAGCCCGGCCTCGCGCTCCGTCGCCGCGTGGACTCCCAGCGGACGGGGCCCCGCGAGTGTAGACGGACGATCCGCGCCCCGGCTGCGGGATCCGGCCCCGGCGGTTGCCCCGTGGGTGCGTGCAGCACCCGGGCACCGCGGTCCGGGCATCCGGTCGGGCTTGGGCAGCGGGGCCGGACCCGAGGACGGGGCCGGGGCTGGGCAGCGGGGCCGGACCCGAGGACGGGGCCAGGATCTGGGCAGCGGGGCCGGACCCGGGGATTGGACCGGGGATGGGCATCGTGGTCGGACCCGGGGACTGGGCCGGGGATGGGCAGCGGGGCCGGGGCCGGGGCTGGGCAGCGGGGCCGGACCCGGGGATTGGACCGGGGATGGGCATCGTGGTCGGACCCGGGGACTGGGCCGGGGATGGGCAGCGGGGCCGGGGCCGGGGATGGGCAGCGGGATGCGCATCGTGGTCGGACCCGGGGACTGGGCCAGGGACTGGGCAGCGGGGCCGGACCCGAGGACTGGGCCGGGGCTGGGCAGCGGGGCCGGGCCAGGATCTGAGCAGCGGGGCCGGACCCGGGGATGAGCAGCGGGATGCGCATCGTGGTCGGACCCGGGGACTGGGCTGGGGATGGGCAGCTCGGCTGGGGACGTGAGGCGGCGGCCAGCGCGGGGCTCTACATGCGCAGGGCCTGGTGCTGGCAGCATCTTGACCACATCCGGCAGGACCACACGGTCTCTTCCCCTCCCACCAGGCCCCAGGTCCCTGGGCACTAGATGTGAGACTGTAGCAAGAGGTTCCCCGGGTTCCCCGAAGCGGGACGGGACCACCTTCCGTGGGTTGATTTGGTGTGCCTGCCCCGGGTGGATGGGCAGGCGCTGGGCAGGAGCGCACCCCCCTCCCCCACTCCCTTTCTTCTCCATCGGTTCTCCCGCTCTGCCTTGTGATTTCCTGCCCAGACGACTGACTTGTCTCTGCTTCTCTTCATGGCGGCCGGTGTCTGCCCCTGCAAGCACAGACATCAGTTGGTGGTGCCCGGGGTCCACCTGTTTGATGGGTTTTGTTCATAGCCTAGAAGCCCGTCCTGGAAAGTTTTCTGCCCCGCATTCTAAAACTGTGGGCGCCCGCCTGGACACAGATCAGCCTAGGTTCATCCAGTCTTCCAGGCTGTTCTTGGGGGTCCCGTCTTAGTTCCCGTTGTTTTGGTCGTCTCCCTTTGCCAGGGCTTTCTCGCTTTGGGGTCTTTGTGGTTCGCGTAGCCTCTTCGCCCTCATACCCTGATTTACCGCCCAAGCATATGCTTCCGCAGGCTCACTTGCCTGAAATAATATTTTAGGGATGAGCATAACATTAGCGAAAAACAGCCCAGCTTGTGGAAACCAGAGTTTCTACACACCCAACAATAACAGCTGTTTTACCTATTACAAACACCAGACTGTTTTCTTAACAGAAGAAAGGGAAGGTTCTGGATAGCAATAAAGAATTAAAAAGTCCCAGGTGGGTAGTTTGGCAGCGATGAAAAGCTGTTCCACTGTAAATGCCAGCGAGGGTGATTTGAAGAACTCCGCGCGCCGCGTTCCTCGGTGCTGTGGGCGCCCCGGCCATTCCCTTCCGTTCCCTCGGAGGTCAAGGGGCCGCTGGGAGGATGGAGGTCTCGGACCCGAGAAAATGCAGCCGGGGGAGCTGGGGGGCCAGCCCCGAGCTCGGCAGAACCCTCGGCCCTCCCCCACCCCGCTGCTCTCTCTTTGCAGGGAACTGCCTTCACCTTCTCCACGATGTACAGAACCAAAGTGGGCTTGAAGGACCGGCAGCAGCTCTACAAGCTGATCATCAGCCAGCTGCTCTACGATGGCTACATCAGCATCGCCAACGGGCTCATCAACGAGATCAAGCCGCAGTCCGTCTGCGCGCCCTCGGAGCAGCTGCTGCACCTCATCAAGCTAGGTAGCTCGGGCTGTCAGGATCCCCCGTGGGGTGGGGTGTCGGGGGGTCTGGTGTCGGGTCCGGGGCTAGCTGGAGTCAGACAGCTTCCAGGGTCAGAGGGCTCGCGGTGGAATCCGGTCTCGCTGCTCCCCTGGTCAGATGCGCAGTTAGGGCACCCGGCTCCGTGAGAACCTCTGGTGCAAACGGGGATGGTGGAGTCGACCGACACCCGGGGACGGGGTGGCAGGGGACACGCACATGTTGGTTTCGCCCTCTGCCAAGCTTGGGTCTAGGCTGAGACCTCGAGGTGGCACCATAAAAGTTATCCTAAGGATGGGGCTGGAGCGATAGCACAGCGGGTCGGGCGTTCGCCTTGCTCATAGCCAACCTAGGTTCGATTCCCAGCATCCCAGATGGTCCCCTGAGCACCGCCAGGAGTCATTCCTGAGTGCGTGAACCAGGAGTAACTCCTGTGCATCGCCAGGTGTGACCCAAAAAGAAAAAACAAAAAGTTATCCTAAGGAAATGAGAGCAGGTGAAATGCCCGCCAGCCTGCAGTTACATTTGGTCTTGTCTCCGCGGCCCTCTTGAATCCAGAGTTTATGAGACTGGCCAGATGGCTTCTGGGTGACTAAATTGACAGGTCACAGATCGCTCTGTAGTATGGTTCTGTATTTATTTTCAAGAAAATGAAGCAAGTGTCTAGAGTGATGGTATGGCTGGTCAGGTGCCGGCCTTGCACACAGTGGGCCTAGATCCAACCCTTGGCACCCCATGTGGTCTCCTGAGCTCAGGGCTAGAAGCGATCCCCGAGTACTGGGGGTGGTCCAAAACACCCCCAAAAGAAAAACACTTGCGGGAGAGAAGGCGGGAGTTCATGGCAGGTCCAAAACACCCCCAAAAGAAAAACACTTGCGGGAGAGAAGGCGGGAGTTCATGGCGGGTACCAATCCCGGGGTGACACATGGGTGGCTTAGCTTTTTCCTTCAGCTTTATGTTAGTTGACAGTGTTTATACCTAATCTGATACTAGTTAAGGTACTACTTTATGCCTGAGGTTATTTTTTTTTCTCTCTCTCTCTCTCTCTCAGCAGCACTGTTCTTGGTAATTTAAATATCAACATTCTTTTACAAATGTTTCCTTAGTTTAGTGTTACAATGTATCTGGTTTTTGTTCCACTGCTTGGGCCATCCTGGGTCCTGCTGAGGGCTGACTCCTGGCAGCCGCTAGGGGACCATAAAAGTGTTAGGGAGCCGGGCAGAAGTTAGTTCAGTAAACGCACAGGCGCACGTTGGATCCCTGGCTCCACGTGGTGCCTTGGAGCACTGCAGAGTTTGGCCCGGAAAGAAGCCCAAACAAATCGGAAGGAGGAAACAGTGGACAGCTTCAGAACTGCTGGTTTTTCATGTTTTGAGATGGAATTTAAAGTCCGAGCTTTTCAATGCCTCTTTTGCAAACCACAACACCCAAAAGGAGAGAGAGAACAAAGGGGAATGCCCTGCCACAGAGGCAGGGTGGGATGGGGGGGGGATGAGGGGGTGGGAGGGACACTGGGACCCGTGGTGGTGGGAAATGGGCACTGGTGGAGGGATGGGTGTTTGATCATTGCATAATTGAAACCCAAGCACAAAATTTGTAAGTCTACAACTGTACCTCATGGTGTCTCACTAATAAAAGTTTTTTTTAATAAATAAACAAAATAAAGTCCGAGCTTTCAGACTGCTCACAGTGCGGTCACTGTGCGCCGCCCCAGGGTCAGGGACTGGACACACGGTCAAAGGCCAAACCGTCTAATTCACCAGCGCGGGTGCCATGCCCCTCGGCGAGTAGGGCTGGACCTGGGCTCGGCCTTGAAGGCGTTTTCAGACGCCGGGAGGCAGCTGTGTGAGGGCGTGTGGCTGGCGTGCAGTCAGTCACCCAGCTGCGGTTCGGGCCCCTCCTGGCTCCTGTGACCCAGACCCAGTACCACCCGCCTCCTCCAGTCCCCGCACCTGAGTGCTGCACAGACAGACAGACAGCGCAGCGCAGAAGCATCAGGTCCCCTGGGCACTGCCCAGGAGGCCCAGAATGAGTAATAAGTTCAGCGGTGATGAGGAACGTTTCTCGGGCAGGGGCCGGGTTTGGTCCCGGCACCCTGCAGGCCTGGCCCCCTGCCAAGTGAGACCCAAAAAATAACCCACACCCATCACCACCCCCCCAAAAAAAGGTTGTTTTCCACGCCTCTCCTTGCGCTTTTCAGGAATGGAGAACGATGACACCGCGGTCCAGTATGCGATCGGCCGCTCCGACACGGTCGCCCCGGGCACCGGGATCGACCTGGAATTCGATGCGGACGTCCAGACCATGTCCCCAGAAGCCTCCGAGTACGAGACGTGCTACGTCACCTCCCACAAAGGCCCCTGCCGCGTCGCCACCTACAGCCGAGACGGCCAGCTGATCGCCACCGGCTCCGCTGACGCATCCATCAAGATCCTGGACACCGAGAGGATGCTAGCCAAGAGTGCCATGCCCATCGAGGTGGGCCCCGTCAGCCCTGGCGCGCCTCGGTGGCCGCGTGTCCTGGGGCCGCCTCTGACCCTGGGCCTCTCTCTCCGCTAGGTCATGATGAATGAGACCGCCCAGCAGAACATGGAGAACCACCCGGTGATCCGGACCCTCTATGACCACGTGGATGAAGTCACCTGCCTCGCCTTCCACCCGACAGAGCAGATCCTGGCCTCCGGTTCCAGGGATTATACGCTGAAGTTGTTTGATTACTCCAAACCCTCTGCGAAAAGAGCCTTCAAATACATTCAGGTTAGGGGTGCTCGGGAGGGGGCGCTGTGGGGACGAGTCTCTGGGGGGCACAGTGCTGGGCCTGTGACGCACGAGCTCAGGGCCCAGGGACATAGCACAGGGCAGAGAGCACTGCGGGGCCGAGTAAGCGGCGGGGGCTCGCACACTTGGCCAAGCCTGTTCCAAGCAACACGGTGGCTTAAGGAGGCCCTGAGACCGTTGCAGTCGGGCGTCTTCCTTAAAGAACTGAACTTGGTGCTGTTGCCTGTGTTTGGGGCCCTATGACAAACTTGCTGGGTTTTTTGTGGGTTTTTTGCACAAGCTCCGTTATTGTCTGTTGGCCACTAGCGAAGCTCCCGTCTGTGGTTTGTTGTCAGTTATTTTGTTAATACTCTGCCCAGCACAAATAACAGTTACAGAAATCTCTGCTCCTTGACAGAAAGTCCTTTATTCTTTCTCAGAGCTCAGTAACAGTTGACCGTTGGTGGATTCTCCCTATCAGCCACATGGTCACATTTGCTTTGGGTTTAAATTGTTGCCCAGGGTCATGGGTGTAACTTGGTAGAGTAGGTGCCTTGGATGTCTGATGTCCGACATTCCCAAAAGTGATTGTTCTCGTCTGTCTCGCAGGAAGCGGAAATGTTACGCTCCATCTCTTTCCATCCTTCCGGGGACTTCATCCTGGTGGGGACGCAGCACCCCACTCTGCGGCTGTACGATATCAACACGTTTCAGTGTTTCGTCTCCTGCAATCCGCAAGATCAGCACACGGACGCCATCTGCTCCGTGAACTACAACCCCAGTGCCAACATGTACGTGACTGGCAGCAAGGACGGCTGCATCAAATTGTGGGATGGGGTGTCCAACCGCTGCATCACAACGTTCGAGAAAGCGCACGACGGCGCCGAAGTGTGTTCTGCCATTTTTTCCAAAAATTCCAAATACATCCTCTCGAGTGGAAAGGACTCTGTGGCCAAGCTCTGGGAGATCTCCACGGGCCGGACCCTGGTCAGATACACAGGTAGGCAAGGTGGCCGCCACCCCACCCCACCCCACCCCACCCCCACATCCCCAGGGCCTCCCACACACCTGCCTCTCGGGAGCTCCAGGTAGTGAGCCGATACGGAGGGCGGGTGGCTGCTGCCCTTCTTCTGGGTAAGGGGATGCCAAGGCGTGGAGGGGAAGTGGAGGCCGGAATAGATCCAACCGGTATCTCCCCCTGCCCTCCCGAATCGAATGTGTCACCCTCCCCCCGTTCCCCGCAGTTCCGAAGCACAGGGATTGGGGGCTCTGGGAAGGAAGGGCTGAGAGGGGGGAATCTGGACCCATTCCCCGAAGGGGCAGGTAGACCCCAGGTGAGGCCCCGGCGTGTTCTGGACAAGCCTCTCGGGGAAGTCCACTCCACATCTGCCGGGTTCCTGTTGCGTCCTTGCCCTCAGCTGGAACCCCTGTTCCTGGGAGCACTTTCCGAGGTGAACTATATTCCACGGATCTCTCATTGGCGGTGTTCAGGCCTTGTTATGTGCCGATGTCTGTGGTTGGTTAAAATCTCTGTGATTCTGTGCCTGGTACCAGCGGAATGTTGTCTGCTTATCAGTGCTACGAGGGTCTCTGCGGTGACTGTCCAGTTAGAGTTTGCAGGTTTTGGTTGGTTGGTTGGTTGGTTGGTTGGTTTTGATTTTTGCTTTTGGGTCACACCTGGCCATGCTCAGGGCGTACTCCTAGCTCTGTGCTCAGAAATCACTGCTGGCAGTGCACAGAGACCATAGAGAATGCCGGGGGGGTGGGGGTGGGGGTGCGGCTGGAACCCGGGTCCTCAGCGTGCAAGGCACAAGCCTGACCCCTATGCTCTCACCCTGGCCCTCCTGTTCGTGTTTTTTAGGAAAAACTTCTGCGGAGTTTTGAGTAGTTGACCACTAGGGTGCAGCATGGCCTTGTGCCCCTCGCGGCCTCCTTAGCTTCCTGCCTGTGGCTTGGAAACAGCGTGTTTGCTTGAAGGTGTTTTCCAGGGGCCGGGGGCATGGCTCAGGAGTTCCCGGACACTCTTCCCTGGCACCGCACGGTCCCCTGAGCAGGGAGCAGTTAGTTCGCAAAGAAGAACAGAGTCCCTGAGCAATGCTCTTCAGGGCCCGCGGGGAAGGTTTGCCCCCGGCCTCACAGACAGTCCCCGAGCACTGCCAGGAGTGATCCCTGAGCACAACTGGCTGCGGCCCAGAAACAAAATGAAAAGGTCACATGCTTCTGCCAGAGCATTCCAGTGCAGTGCCAGGGTGACCCATCCCCCCACGACAGCCCTTTGCTGTGATGTGAGCGGCACGTGCCCGTGAGCCTGTTTTCCGGGTGTTGGGCCTCGGCAGCCCGGCAAGGCACAGGCTCACCCACCACTCTGCTCTGCGTTGGTTTTGCTCTGTGCGTGGTGGAGGTTGCGTGGTTCAGGGGGTGGTTTTGGTGAAGAATTGAATTTTTCATACAAGATTTACTGATCTTTGAATGCAGAATTCAGTTTTTTTTTTCTTTTTTTTGGGGGGGGGGTCACACCCCACGATGCACAGGGGTTATTCCTGGCTCTGCACTCAGGAATTTTTTTTTAAAGGCCAGAGAGATAGTACAGTGGGTAGCACACAGCTGACCCCAGTTCGATCCCCGGCATCCCATGATCACCACCTGGAGTAACCCCTGAGCCTTGCACGTGTGTCCCAGAAAAAGTGGGAGGCAAGGGGGGGATTCAATCTTGGAGGAAAGAGGAGTTGCCCAAAAGACAATTATTGGAAATGTGTTGTTTTCAGTTTACTGTCTTGCCGGTGCAAGTGTGTGTGTTGGGGGCGGCAACACCGAGATTTGAGCTCATGCCAGAACCCCTCTTCCTGGACTCCCGAGCATGTATTTCTGACCCACTTTGCCCTCTTAGAAACGGCCCTGGTGCGTGGATGGCTGACAGGATGGTTCGGGGCAGGAAAGGCAGTGGGGCGAGGCGCCTGGCTCATGGCTGGCGCCGGTACCACGCTCAGCGCCATCCTTGATCGTGAGCATCACCGGGTGTGGCCCAAGCCCCTCCCCCTGAAGAAAAAGTAAAAGATAATTAGACATGCACCGACATGAATTAAAAAGGGTCCAGGGGCTGGAGAGATAGCACAGCGGGGAGGGCGTTTGCCTTGCACGCGGGCAACCCGGGTTCGATTCCCAGCATCCCATAGGGTCCCCTGAGCATCGCCAGGAGTGACTCCTGAGTGCAGAGCCAGGAGGAACCCCTGTGCGTCGCCAGGTGTGACCCAAAAAGCAAAAAAAAAAAAGGGGGTCTAGACTGGCTCTAAGCAAGGAGTGGAAAGTCGTGCCAGGAAGGGTGTGTCTGTCCAGCGGCCCGACTGAGCCGTGAACCACACAGTGACCCCACAGCAGCCTCGTGAGTAGGTGTCGTGTCCAGCTGTGCCCGCTGCAGTGAGGGGTAGATCATGTGGTGTCATCTCCAGCCTGGATGGCCCGCAGGAGCGGACAGCCCCAGAGATGCTGACCGAGGGTGTCCACCCAGATACAGCTGGGCCCGAAGTCACCCGGCGGTGTTTTTCCTATATTGTACTTTTAAACAGAAAACACGGAGACCAAGTTCATGGTTCTAAGTAGGTACCGGGCTCCCTTTTGAAGATGAGCCGTCCCTGCCTGCCAGCGAGGCTATCCAGGGCGTTGAATCCCTTAGGAAATAGCGTGTGCTCTGCGGGAAGGCATCAGGACAGCTGCTGGGGTCCACTCGGCAGTGGAGCGGCAGGGAGCGGGTTCCGCGCTGGGAACCAACTGGGCAAAGCCCAGCGTAGCTGAAGCTGGTCCAAGCCGTGGCCGGGGACGGGGTGACCCCGGAGTGGGGGATCAGCCCTGGCTTCCCGTGCGGGAAACCGGGTCCGGCCCCAGCACCCAAAGGGTCGCTCCCGGGGCGGGTGGGGGGGCACGGGACCCCCTTGACGCCTCTCCCCTCCGCAGGCGCGGGCCTGAGCGGGCGGCAGGTGCACCGGACGCAGGCCGTGTTCAACCACACCGAGGACTACGTGCTGCTGCCGGACGAGCGCACCATCAGCCTGTGCTGCTGGGACTCGCGCACGGCCGAGCGCCGCAACCTGCTCTCGCTGGGCCACAACAACATCGTGCGCTGCATCGTGCACTCGCCCACCAACCCCGGCTTCATGACCTGCAGTGACGACTTCCGGGCCCGCTTCTGGTACCGGCGCTCCACCACCGACTAGCGCACGCCGCCCTGGGAGCCGCCCGGAGAACCCGCGTGGACCTCGGTGCAGAATCCTGGGGGAAAGGGCAGGCGCCGCGTCCGTCCCCTGGTGGTTCCAGCGGGATTCCTCGGCCTGCGGGACGGGGCTCGCCCTGTCCCTGGCCTCGCCCGCCGGCGACGGGAGGAGGGGCACAGTGCTCTCCGTCCACCGCAGTCCTGGCCGGCTCTGTGCTGGCGGGCGAGCGGACGCCGGCTCCGAGGACGCGCCAGGGGGGCCGTCTGTCCGTCTCCTCGTTCTGGTGCCGTCGTTCTGGTAATAAAGCCTCGATCCGGACCTTAAGCGTCCCCCCACCTTCACTCGGGTCAAACCCACGGTTCTTCCGGACTTCCCACGCGCCGTGTGCCCACGCGGCTGCGTCCGGGTGGTGGCGGGAGTTGTTATTGGAAACGGCCGGCCTGTCGAGCAGACGGACAGACCGACACAGCCGCTGCTCACCTCTCAAAGGCTTCCTGTCCGGTGGCTGCTTCCTGGGTGGTTTTTAAAAGTCTGGTCTTTGATTCCTTCCAGTGGGAGCCGGTCACTCCCCAGGGAAGCACGTGGCAAGTCGATGAGTTTTGATTGTTGTCCGGAAGCGGCTGGGCAGGTTGCCTCACACCTTGGAGCGGGCGACGACGGGGTCTGGGTGACATGGCTGGCAGTGAGCCCGTCAGCCCCCTCACGGGATCAACCAAACACGGATACCTCACAGCTAGGCAGAGAACCTAGCAGCGCGGTCTGGGATTTGCCGGTTAAAGTAGAAGGACTTGTTCTCTGTGGCAGGAGCGTAGAGTCTTGCCGTTCCGTCTGCTTTAGTCATCCTGGAGGGTCGTTGCAGCGCTCCGGTCTGGAAGGCCGTCTTTCGTGTTCCACATGTTCAATCACAGGGTTTTGTTTCACATTAAAGAGCTGTATTTTTGGTCCACGGTGAGTGTCAGTTTGATTTTGTGTCCTGGTTCTCTGGTATTTGATCTTGGCCGTTTAATCTTTTCCTCGTATCGAAGGAAACTTACTGAGCATAAACAAGGCAGTCTTAACCCAAAAGCAAACGACCACCACCAAAAGTCCCCATTTTTCCTGACGTTCCTTTTGCTTCCTGCCCGTTGATTCGGCGCAATTCCCACCCTCCACACACAACCCCCCCCACGTCTGCTCGTGCTCCGCGTGGTGCCGAGTGACCCCGAGCACTCCCGTCCCCTGATGTCTGTGACTGTCCGGGAACGAGGAGCAGGACGCGCCCGTCTCTGCTCGCGGCTGTGCTTCAGCACTTGGACCCACAAGATCAAGATCATTCGTGTCTCCAAAAAATAGACCTTTTTCCCTTCTGAAAATCATGGGGCTGAAGCAATAGTGCAGTGGATAAGGCACTACTTGCCTTGCACGCACCAACCCGGGTTCAGGCCCGGCCTCCCAGGGTCCCCCTGGGTATCACCCCCTAGGACCCAAAAACTTTCAAACAATATACTTTAAAAATCACATTGTGGGGCTGGAGCAATAGCACAGCGGGGAGGGCATTTGCCTTGCACGCGGCCGACCCAGGTTCAACTCCCAGCATCCCATATGGTCCCCTGAGCACCACCAGGAGTAATTCCTGAGCTCAGAGCGAGGAGTAGCCCCTGTGCATTGCCGGGTGTGACCCAAAAAGCAAATAAAAAAAAAAATCACATTGCTGCTTTGAGCTGGCGTCAGGACCAGGGGTCCTGCAGGGCCTGGTTCCCCACACCACTACCTGCCGTGTGAATGCAGGCTCCAGAGATGAGAACTTGTAACTTCCTGTTGTCTTTCAGAGGCGTGATTTCCTGGCGCCTGAACGGCAATGCAGCTGCCTTGCACACAGTTGACCTGCCCCAGCGACCCACATGGACCCCCAAGCCCCACCAGGAGTGGCCCCTGAGCACAGAGCTAGGAGTAAGCACTGCCAGAAACAAGCTAAAAAGATGCATGATTTCTGAAATAAAATTTTCATATACAGTTACAGCTGGTTTAGGGTTTGAAGCTTTGAGTGCGTCCGCATTTGAACCTGATTCCAAGCATGGACTTCTCGAACTATCTTTTGTTCTAGAAGTTTGATTTTTGTTGCGTAATAATCTAGAGCTGCTCTGTCTTGTGGGGGTCTTGGTTTTTAAATGTGGAGATTTTTTTCATTTTTCGAGACCATTCAAACCTGCCTTTCGCCACAAACTGGTTTCCCTCGGAAACGGCCATGGTGGGTGGGCATGGTGGGCTCTGCAGCCAACCATCTGTTGAGAGCTGCCTCATGGGTTTCTTTCTGGGGCAGAAGAGGTGAATCCGAACCCTCTGAGTAAGGAGCCAGGGACGCTCCTTAGCGGGGCAGCCCAGCTGACCTCACCTGAGTTAGGGTCCTGTGTCATCTCTGAAGGGCATTGCCTGAGGCGCTGGTGGGCTCCTGAGGGCCTCGGCTTCCACCCACCTCCTGCCTGATGCTAGAGCCCAGTCTTCACAAGGGGTGACTTGAGCAAGAGCTATAGGAAAGTGCAGGACCCAGACATGCCTCATGGGGGCCGAGTGACAGCAGCCTGCTCCCAGGCCGGCGGGGCCTGGGCCTGGAGGATGGTCTCCGTCTCGTCCCCAGCGACTTCCCTGCAGGGCCTGCCTCACGCTCCCCAAGGGCTCAGAGAAAACAAGGCACTGACAACCCAGTACAAGTTCTCTGGAAAGCCCTGCCTGCGCCCCACTCCTCCCGGATAGTCCCGGACACGGCGTCTGAATCAGCACCGTCAGGAGAGAGGAAACGCCCTCTGCATCTGAGCGGAAGCCGGGACCCAGAGACTGCTGGGCACTGAGTAGCTTTGATCCTGAGAAGGTGCCGGAAGCCGGCACAGCCTCCTGGGAGCCGCCCTGCTATGTCAGGCCCTTTCTACAGCTTTCTCCCTGCCTGACCTACGGGCGGGCGTCTCCACCCCAAAGCCTCTTCACCTCTTTGCTCCTTTTGGCTGCTCAGTGCCCGGGGGGCCCCTTGCTGCAACATCCTTCCCTCCTTCCCTCCCCTGCAGCAAAATAACGATAGTGGCTGTAGATCTCCCACTGATGCCCCCTTAAAAACGTAAGAGAGGGGCTGGAGCAATAGCACAGCGGGGAGGGCGTTTGCCTTGCACGCGGCTGACCCGGGTTCTATCCCCAGCATCCCATATGGTCCCCCAAGCACCGCCAGGAGTGATTCCTGAGTGAAGAGCCAGGAGGAACCCCTGTGCATCGCCGGGTGTGACCCCCCCCAAAAAAAAAAAAACGCAAGAGAGGGGCTGGAGCAATAGCACAGCGGGTAGGGCGTTTGCCTGGCACATGGCCAACCCGGGTTCAATTCCCCATATGGTCCCCCGAGCACCACCAGGAGTGATTCCTGAGTGCAAAGCCAGGAGGAACCCCTGAGCATCGCCGGGTGTGACCCAAAAAAGCAAAAAAAAAAAAAAGTAAGAGAAATATGTGGGCAATTCTTAAAATTCTACTTGCACCGAAAGAGTTCCTGTAGGGCCAGAGAGATAGTACAGCAGGGAAAGGGCTCGCCTGGCATGTGGCCGACTCAGGTTCGATCCCTGCGTCCCATACAGTACACTGAGAGGAGTGCTTCTTGCGTGCAGAGCCAGGAGGAAGCCCTGAGCATCACCGGGTGTGCCCCCCGCCTCACTCCGCCCCCCCCTCAAAAAAAAAGAGTTCCTTTACTCTAGTTGGCATGCTCGCCTCTGGAGATCAAGCCTGCCTGATCAGTTTATTTCGTTAGTGGGGATCTGGCAGAAAGAGGTGCGGGGAGTAAGGCCTGCACCTTCTCACCCGTGAGACTCCGCCTTTGACCGGCTCCTAAGCGGAGTGGACATCCCAGAACAGGGTCCCTGTGCCAAGGCCTGAGGTCAGGTGCGGCCGTGCTTCCCGTTAGGGCGCCCTGCTGCTCGGAGAGCTGAGAAGCACAGCAAGCAAGCATGGAAGGTCACCACCAGGGGCCAGACAGACGGTCGCACGGGCCGGGCGCAGGGGACCCTGAGCCCAGAGTCAGGAGTCGGCCCTGAGCACCGCCGAGTGGGGCCCAAAAACAAAAAGATCCAAACCCCGTTCGAGTGCGGCAGCCGCCCCGCGTCCTCCACCACGAGGGCTCCGCAGCGAGGTCCAAGGCAAACTCGACCAAGATGCTGTTCTCCGTGGCACGTTTTTCCCAAGAAGGGGAAGAAGTGACGTCACATGGAATCTGCCTAGGGTTTTAGTTCCCTTAAACTAAGCCCTTCCGGCTGTCACTGGGGCGTTAGGAAAGCCACTGATTTCCTAGAAGGGTCGTGTGCAGGTGGGGGAGTCCCAGGGGCTGGCGGCTGAGGGACAAGTTGTTTCATTCAGAAAAAACGGTGGCACGGTCGCATGCCAGGCTGAGAAGCCGGCTTCCGGGTGGGTTTCCTTCAGAAAGGGTGAGGCTCAGAGTGAAGCCACTGGAAAATGAGGCTCTGAGGTTCAGCTCGAGCTTCTCCCTGCAGTGGGAACCCTGTCACACGCACAAACACACACACACACACACGCAAACATGCACAAATGCACTCAAACACATGCACAAACATGCACACAAGCACAGACGCACACATGTGCAAACTCGCACTCACACGCACAATCGCACGTACACACGGATCAGCACGTGCTCGCCTTCCCCACGGGGTGGGGGCCCCTGCAGGCAGGAAATGAAAACTCCCAGCTCAGCTGTGTGTGGTCTTCAGAGTTGGTTTCTGTTTTTCCATGGGGGTATGGCAGGGGAAGGGGGGGACAGGGACAGCCCTGGTGGCCCCCAGCACCATCAGCGTGTGCCCTAGTGTCGCACAAGCAGCTCCTGACACACACACACACACACACACGCACACACACACATGCACACACACACAAATTCTTTTTCAGTGTATCATTGCTCCTCCATCATAGACCATGACCTTGAACGCGTTTGTCCTCCTGCACACGACAGTGACCCGAGCAGGGGTGCAGGGTGAGGGGGAGACAAGGGCGGGGAATCTTGTGCGAGGTGAAGAAACGCGCCCAGACCAGCCGTGAGCGGTCCCTCGCCTAGAGAGTGCGTCCTCCAAGGCTGACTTCTGTGGCACGCGTCTCCCGTGCGAACGAAGCTTCCGGGCTTTGACCCGCTCGCACCCGCCCTCGCTTGCCCCCAACCCCTCTGCACGTCCCCTTTTCCCAGATGATTCCAGAGTGGGTCTTGGGCTGTTGTCGCCTGGGCACAGCAGTGGTGGGTGTCAGAGAGGGACTTTCGAGACCCATCGTAACCTCGCTGGACCCAGAAGCAGCTACTGAGCGTGTCGCTGGTCCCGTGCCTACGGCGGCAGGATCCGCTCTCAGGGCCCATGCGGGACGGGACTGTGGCTCCTGGAGGCCACCCTGCCCGTTTTTCCTTCGCTGGCACAGTATCCAGGGGTCACTGCATCTGCAGCCGTAGTCACAGGCCAGACTGCAGTGCTCACTGGGCCCTGCCCACTTACACGTGCAGAGCCGCTGGGCATGGTAAGGCCGTGCCAGCAGGCCCCACACACCACAGACCCTCCCCAGCCCTCTGAGGGCCCCTTCAGTCACTGTAGTTTATCCTTTTTGACCACTGGCACAGAATCCACAGGTCCCTTACACGGGCCCTTCATGTCTCCCTGCAACTCTTTTATTTATTTTATTTTGTGTGTGTGTGTGTGTGTGCTTTGTTTGTGCGTGTACATCACACCTAGCGATACACAGGGGTTCCTCCTGGCTCTGCACTCAGGAATTACTCCTGGCGGTGCTCCGGAAACCATACGGGATGCTGGGAATTGAACCCGGGTAGGCCGCATGCAAGGCAAACACCCTCCCCGCTATACTATGGCTCCAGCCCTCCTTGGAGACTCTTAAGTCTCTCTTCATCTTTCCTGTCTTTCAGTGGCAGGAGCAGAGTGTTGGGTTTTGGAATCACGTTCCTACTCCTGGCTCTGTGCTCCGAAGTGACCCTGGGCTGCACTTGGGCGACCCTAAGCCTGTCAACTGGTGAGGACCTGAGGTCTCTGGGACCGTCTGGTCCAGCCCCGGCATATGTATTAGCAAGAAGTACGTCCTCCCGGCGGTCCTGCGGGAACACACGGCTCTTTCCTCTGAATCTGCTCGTTGGCCTTCGGGGGATTTTGCTCCTCTGCCTGGTCCTTGGCCCTCTCGGGTGGTGGGAGGCAGGAGCCCTGAGACCAGCCCGTGCCCCTCACCCCGGCACCGCGAGTGGGCATCCGGCCCAGCTCTCTGTTCCCCCCGGGTACTCCTTCACGGTGTCCAGACAGCGGGCACCCAGGAGGGGTCTACCTCTCCGGGAGAAGACCAGCGCCCCGGCCGTGAGCACTGTGGGCGCAGGAAGTGGCCGGGGAGGGGTTCGAGCGTGGGCTGGGTGCGGGGTGGGCGCGGCTGGTTCCAAGTGAGCCTGCATCGGGCTCTGAGCTCGGGAAAGGAAGCGATGAGAAGGCTTTTGGGGTTCGTGTGGGCGTGATGGGAGCTGCTAAGACTGAGCTGTTAGGAGAGATGAAGTCATGAAGTTTGCTGACAGTGGACGGTCATGGAGAGTATCTGCTAAGTGAAATGAGTCAGAGAGAGAGGGACAGATATAGAAGGACTGCACTCATTTGTGCAGTGTAAAAAAAAAACATAATATGAGACTGACACCCAAGGACAATAGAGACAAGGGCCAGGAAGATTGCCCCAGAGTTGGAAGCCTGCCTCATGAGCTGGGGGAGAAGGCAGCTGGGATAGAGAAAGGACCACTAAGTCAGTGATGGTTGGAGGGATCATTCGGGATGGGAGAGGTGTGCTAAAAGGAGATAAAGGACCAAATGTGATGGCCTCTCAGTATCTATATTGCAAACCATAATGCCCAGAAGTAGAGAGAGAGTATGGGGGAATTTGTCTGCCATAGAGGCACGGGGGTGGTGGGTTGCGGGGGAATACTGGGGACATTATTGGTGCAAAATGTGCACTGGTGGAGGGATGGTGTTTCATCATTGTATGACTGAAACTCAGACATGAAAGCTGGTAACTGTATCTCACTGTGATTCAATTGAAAAAAAAAGCTGAGCTGAGTTTGCTGTGGGCCCCTGGAACCGTCCTGAGCCCCCTGAGTCCAGGTCCAGCTGTGAGTAGCACCGTGAGTCTGAAGACGCCCCCTCGGCCCTCAGGCAGAGGCAGGGGCAAGGCTGGTTGCAGGGCGCAGGGAGCCGGGAGCGCTGTCAGACTGGGACGGGGCTAGTCCTGGGGCCCAGCCGTAGGCGTCGCTCGAGTGACCGGGTGGGTCCCCAGCTCTTCAAAGCAGGAACTTCTCCCCTAAAGCCTAAAGCAGAAGAGTGGGAGGTTCTTTTCGGGCTCTTTTTTTTTTTCTTTTTTTTCTTGCTGCCTCTGTGGTTTCACGGAGCAGATGTGTGGCTGTCTCTGCTGTCTCTGCTCAGAGACCGTCAGGACCTGCCGCTGGGTTGGCGGGGTTTCAGGCTGTCTCCGCACTGAGCACGCCTTCCAGAAAGCCGGCAGCCGGCGGAGCGTGGGTCAGCCTCTCTGGAACTCGACTTCTGAGGAGCAGCGGCTGGCCGGCCGGCCGTGACATTGCATAACGGACGCCTGCAGCCCCAGATAGCACACAGGGCTGGGGGCCAGGGCACGGAGTGAGCTGCCGGCAGCATGGACCGGGCGCCCCAGGTGAGTTGGGGGTCGGGGGTGCGGTTCTGATGGTATCCCCCGTGGTGGGTCACAGCTGTGCTCTGTGTGTCGCCTGACATCAGGATGGCCTGGGGGAGCGTGTGTCAAATGGGAAAGTTGGACGGAGGGAAACTGGGTCTGACTCGGACAGACAGACACACAGAGAATCTCCCTAGCAGCCCCTGGTTGGTGCCAGTGCACCCACAGGCCCGCCTCAGTGGGATGCGTCTCTGACCCATCCTGACTGTTCTGCCTCTGGACCCCGAAGGCGCCGCGGTCCCCTTCCTCCAGAACAGAGCCTGACCTGCCAGTAGGTTCCCTGCAAGGCCCTGGGGGGCTCTGCTGGGTGCTGAGTGTGCTTCTGTGGGGGTCTGTCCGGGCTGAAAGCCAACTATGACTTGGTTTTAAGAAAACTGGGATCTCTCCGTCTGTCTCCCTGCGTGTTGTGTGTGTCTCTGTGTGTCTATGCGTCTGCATGTCTGTGTGAGTTTCTATGTGTCTGTGTCTGTGCGATGTGTGTCTGTGTGTATCTGTGTGTCTGTGTGTGTCTGTGTGTCTCTGTGTCTGTGTGTGTCTTTATGTTGTGTGTCTGTGTCTCTGAGTGTTTGTGTGTCTGTGTCTGTGTGTCTTTTTGTATCTGTGTGTGTGTCTGTGTGTGTATCTGTGTGTCTGTCTGTGTGTGTGTGTCTGTGTGTGTGTGAAGGTCAAGGTTTCTTACTCCGTGGCCTTTTTGCATTTTTACTACAACCTGCCATGACAGTTTTTGCACTTTTACATGAAAACTGCCGTGACAGTTCCTGACGGGGGGTTGGCCGCGCACGGGAATTCAGGGCCTGTTGGTGGGGTCATGGTCATGGCGGGCATGGCTGGTGGAACTGATAGAGGCCCCACTGTATAGAATGTGTGTGGGTGTGGGGGTCAGCTACCCCCAGACCCAACTATTTCCTTTTTCCTTTCTCTCTTCTTTGGTGTCTGGGGCACACCCAGCAGTGCCCAGGGGCTCCTCCTGCTTGGGATCATCCCCGCGTTATAACGGGCCTGGGCAATGCAGATGCCTTAGCCCCTGTTCTGTCTCTCCGGACCCCCAGCTCTGTCCTTCACTTTGGGGGGTGCTGCGCCATCCCCCGCAGTGCTTGGGGAAGCTCCTGGCTCTGTCCACAGGCCAGCACTGCCCGGACAGTTGTGCCGGGGGTTGGGGGGGGGGCACGTCCACACGAACCATCCCCGAAAGCCTGGACCTTGCCTTGGTCCACTTTGAATTTTGACCTGTCTGTGGGGGGTGATGCCAGCCACTTTCTCTGAAATGTTTTAGCCCCTGGGGAAATGGAAAATAACCTCCCAAGTTCCTGCGTCCCCTACCCCCGACTCCGGGCCCCTGATGGCTCTCGACGCTGGCACAGCCATGGGGACACCTCAGCCCACTGTGTCCGGCCGCATGGCACCCCAGCCCACATCCCTGCCCACCGGGACACACGGTTTGCGTCTCCCCAAACCCTGCCCCGTGGGGCCCTTGGGGCATCCGCGCGTTCCTGGGAGGGGGACACCTGTGCCGTCATCCTCATCCAGAACCTTCCACAGCCCCTCCTGTCCCCTCTCCTCTGCTGTCCCAGGCTTGCCGGGCCCTGGGGAGCTTCGGGCAGTATCCCCGAGTCCCCTGCTGACCACAGGATCGAGGTGGAGGTGGGGTCTTCTCGCCCTGCATAGATGCGGGGGGAGCAGACCCCCCGGGTGTGACCAAACAGAACAGGGCAAAACAGGGGCGGGGACCTTGACCTCCTCTTTAGTGACCCCCACACACAGTCACGACCGCAGGGTCTGGGGCTCCCACCCTTGGGTGGGGTTCCCGGAACTCTCACACTCGCAGTCCCGAGAGCCCAGCGCCAGCCTCATCCTGCAGCAGACACGCTGCCCCGAGCTGCCACGTCACGCCCGAAATATCATCTTTTCTGGTTTGGGTTTGGGTTTGGGGGCCTCGCCCAGTGGTGCTCAGGGCTTACTCCTGGCTCTGTGCTCAGAGGTCGCTCCTGGCAGGGCTCAGGGGACCCTGTGTGGTGCCAGGGCTCAAACCAGGATCGGCCACATGCAAAGAAAGAACTAACTCCTGTGTACACTCTCTCTATCTGTCTCTCTCCCTCTCTCTCTCTCTCTCCCTCCATCCCTCTCCCTCTCTCTCCCTCTCTCTTCCCTCTCTCTTCCCCCTCTTTCCCCCTCTTTTTCCCTCCCTCTCTCCTTCTCTCTCCTCTCTCTCCCTCTCCTCTCTCTCTCCCTCTCTCGCTCTCTCTCTCTTCCTCTCCCTCTCTCCTTCTCTCTATCTATATCTCTCCTACATAAGTTTTTAAGCTTGATTTCTTTGTGACCTAGTAGAAAGAAGGAACTTGGCTCGGCTCTCTGAAGAGTTTGTTGGTTTTTGGTTTTTGGTGTGGGTTTTGGGGTTTTTTTTTTTTTGTTTGGGTTTTTTTGTTTGTTTTGTTTTGTTTTGTCTTTACTTTTTGGGTCACACCCGGCGATGCTCAGGAGTTACTCCTGGTTTTGAGCTCAGGAATTACTCCTGGAGAAATTGGCGGATCATATGGGATGCCGGGGATCAAACCCAGGTGGGGATCAAACCCAGGTCGGCCGTATGCAAGGCAAATGCCCTAACCACTGTACTATGTCCACCAGCCCCTGAAGGGATTTTATCTTTATTTTTTTTTCTGATTTTATTTATTTATTATTTATTTATTTGAATCACCATGAGATGGGCCGGAGCTATAGCACAGCGGGTAGGGCGGCATTTGCCTTGAACACAGCCGACGCGGCTCAATTCCATCCCTCTCGGAGAGCCCGGCAAGCTACCGAGAGTATCCTGCCCACACGGCAAAGCCTGGCAAGCTACCCATGGCGTATTCAATATGCCAAAAACAGTAACAACAAGTCTCACAATGGAGACGGCACTGGTACTGCTCGAGCAAATTGATGAACAACAGGAGGACAATGCTACAGTGCACCATGAGATTTATTCACGATGCAATGTTCCAACCCCCATCCTTCCCTCAGTGCTCATTTCCCACCACCAATGTCCCCAGCCTCCTGCCTCTCCCCTCCCCCGCCTGCCTCTGTGGCAGGCACTTTCTTCTCTCTCTCTCTCTCTCTCTCTCTCTCTCTCTCTCTCTCTCTCTCTCTCTCTCCTTTTGTGCACTATGGTTTGCAATACAGGTACTAAGAAGGTCTTCATCTTTGTTCGGGCATTCAGTATTTCTATTGGGAAGGTACAGCTGGAGTAGTTTTTTTTTTTTTTTTTTAGCTGGGTGGCAGCTTTGAGGGGTAGATGTGACTGCTGGGGCTTCTGAAAGTACAGGGAGGCAGGGAAGGTAACCCATCCCGACCCCAAGAAAGCCTGGGGATTTCAGTCACAAAGCTCGCACACCCGGATTTGGGGCAGCTTAATAACTCTGGGCTGGAGCGATAGCACAGGGGTAGGGCATTTGCCTTGCACGCAGCCAACATGGCCAACCCGAGTTCGATTCCTCCGCCCCTCTCGGAGAGCCCGGCAAGCTACCGAGAGTATTCGATATGCCAGACACAGTAACAACAAAGTCTCCAATGGAGACGTTACTGGGCCCGCTCGAGCGAATCGAGGATCAACGGGAGGGCCTTTACCTTACCTTTAATAACTCCGCGAGGTCCACCCCCAGATGGTGGAGTCGGGCTGGGGGCAAGGCAGCGATGTTGGATTGTGGGAGCAAGTGGTTGCAGGGGGCTCTCTTTGGGCGGGCCCTGGCTAACCTGCCCCCTCCATGTACTCTGGCCTGTTCAGCCTTGTGCGGGTCCCAGATTAACTGCGGCTTTTGATCATTTTGAAGATTTATTTAGAAGGCTGTGAAGCAAGGTCGATAAATGAGCTTGTCTGGCTGAGCCGGGGGTGGTTTGTGGGCGTGACTACCACATACCTACCTTTTGGCAAATTTCTCGGAAATTTGTTTTTTGTTTGTTTGTTTGTTTTGGGGGGTTACTCCTGGGTAACACACAGTGATGCTCAGGGGTTACTCCTGACTCTGTACCCAGGAATGACTCCTGGCGGTACTCAGGGAACTATATGGGATGCTGGGAATCGAACCCGGGTTGGTCACATGCTAGGCAAACACCCTCCCCACTGTACTATCGCTCCGGCCCATTTCTTGGGAATTTGGAGTCCTGAGTTGTTGGCATCTGGAAGTACAGTGGCGATTTGGGGGTATCAGGAAGCCCAAAGGCCCTATCAGACGGCGAATGCCCTCCAGGTTGGCCTGCAGGTGGCATCACCCCCCCCCCCGGGCTCAGTGGGCACCAGGACCAGGGTCAGGGCTGCTCCCACCCGAGTCACTGGTCCCGCAGAGCCTGGCCGGGGGCACACGCCCCATCCGGGGTCTCCAGACACTGGCACTCAGGGAAGTTTTCCACCATAATAGACTGCGGGTAGCTGGGGCTGGTTCAGGGGAGAAATGGTGGCGATTCTCAGGGGCCCATGGTGGGAACCCTCTCAACTCCAGGACCCCCACTCCTCCATGGTGACAGGTTGTACTGGAAGAGCCCAATTCAGACACGTTGACGCTCTGCCTTGCACAGTACCTGCGCCCACTATGGTCGCAACGCCCCATCCTCACACGCCTCACCCCAGGCCAGCAACTGGCCAGTTCCATTTAACAGCACTCTCCCTGAGACGGGGTACCCCAGGGGCAGCCTCATTCACTCACCCAGAGATTGTAAGACCCCCCACAGGCTGTTCAGAGCGCTGAGAACTGATGTCCCTTGGCGTGCCTCTGGCATACTGACCCACTTGAAGGGGTTTCAGAAAGTGTCCTTAAGGCCTTCCTGAAGGCCAGATGGCCAGAGAGGAAGCCAAGTATTATTTCTGTCTTTAAAAGATGTACACAGGGCCTGGAGCAATAGCACAGCGGGGAGGGCATTTGCCTTGCACGCGGCCGACCCAGGTTCAATGCCCAGCATCCCATAGGGTCCCTCTAGCACCGCCAGGAGTAATT